AAGGGCTTTGTCCTTTTTTTCTTTTAATTACAGTTTTCATTTTAATTTAAAAGCTTTTCACTTGATTAAAACGCATCTCAGTGAAACGGGTTCAGTGTGGGTTTCAGCAGGTCTGTCTCTCACCCTTCCCCTAGGACACCTCTGGCTTTACGTGCCACCAGCCACAACCAGAGGGAGGCAAGTGACAGCTTTCCTCACAGTTGAGCGATGACCCAGAACCTCCAGTGTAAGGCTTTCCGGTCAAGATGTCCCTAGCCCTTCCCTTCGTTAACAGCCCCCACAGAGCCCACACTACCTGCTGGCTTTAAATGTTTGGACAGGAAAGCTTATAGCCCCGCTCTGCTATTTTTAGGAGGTGCTCAGCATTGACTCAGTCTTTCTGCTGGCTTGTAGACCTCTATTCTCTCCTGCCGGTGCTGTCAGGGACTTACTCACACCTTAGGGTGGTGAGCACAGCTCCCTTCGGCTCAGCCTGGGCCTGTACCCCCTTCCTCGCACTTTCCTAGGGTGGGGACAGTTTTCTCAGGGGCCGAGTTTCCTTGCTCCTCTTAAGAAAAACTGCCCCACAAGTCACAGACGCTAACCTGGACAGAGCTGGAGCCTCCGCATCTTGTTCATAATTTTGCATGAATGTAGCTATAAGTGGGAATTGGGTGTTCTGGTTTTTGTTTTTTGTTTTAATGGAGTCTAAGTTCAAATATGCCTTTAAAAGAAAATAAGCTGGGGCGCCTGGGTGTTTCAGTTGGTTAAGCGTCCAACTCTTGATTTCAGCTCAGGTCATGATCTCGGCTCAGGTCATGGTCTCACAGTTCATGGGATCCTGCCCCACGTGGGGCTCTGCACTGGCAGTGTGGAGTCTGCTTGGGATTCTCTCTCTCCCTTCCCGTCCCCCACGTGCACTCTGTCTCTCTTTCTCTAAGTATAAATAAATAAATATTCTTTAAAAATAATAATTTACAGGGGCACCTGGGTGGCTTAGTCAGTTGAGTGTTAAACTTCAGTCAGGTCATGATCTCATTGTTCATGGGTTCAAGCCCCATGTCAGGCTCCGTGCTGACAGTTCAGAGCCTGGAGCCTGTGTTAGATTCTGTGTCTCTATCCCTCTCTCTCTCTCTCTCTCTCTCTCTCTGCCCCTCCCCCATTCATGCTTTGTCTCTCTCTTTTTCTCTCTGAGAAATAAACATTAAAAAATTTTTTTAATAATAATAATACAGTTACTCAAGGTGAGTAACACGGTTCTGAACTCCATGGGTTATGAACTGCATGGATTTTTGTGAATACATACAGAACGGTACTGTAAATGTATTTTCTCTCCCTTATGATTCTCTTGAAGGCTTCTTTTCTCTGGTTTACTTTAAGAATACAGTATTGATACATACAACATAAAATATGTGTTAACCAAATCTTTATGTTATTACTAAGGCTTCTGGTCAAAGGAGGCTATTAGTAGCTAACTTTGGGGGGAATCAAAAATCATACTCAGATTTTTAACTGTGTGGAGGCTGGTGCTTTTAACCCCCTGTGTTGTTCAAAGGTCAGCTGCATATTTAAATAGCTTTAGAAAAAATGCTGTGAAGGATTTAAATGTTACCTATAAGTTGAAACTTACCGTTGATTATATTTTTATCCCAGAGTGTAGCAGAGTGACTGGCACAGAAAAGACACTTAATAAATGCTTGGAGAAAGGAATGCTTAGGAATAAATGAATAAAATCAAAGGTGTTAAAAGCTTGCTGATTTATCCCTCTCAAGGGTAACTTGTAGTTTTACATGCAGAACTTTTCTTTAACACACTGAAAATGGCAGAGTTCTCAGATATCTCTCCCAGGGTGAGGCCAGAGATATTTTTGGCAGTTGATTATATGATAGTGGTTGGGACGATTTCTGTCTTAATAATCCCAAACTCAATTCATAATGGCTTACATGGTAGAGAAATGTGTTTACCTTTATAACAAGTGTTTGGACAGGACCTCTACCCAGTCTTTGGACACAACAAGTTTAAGGTTAGTTATTCAGCGGCTCAACACGGGCTTTAAGGTTCACGTGACTTTCCATCTTCTGCCCCGCCACCCTCAGCCTATCAGCTTTCAGCTGCCATCATTAAGGGAGTATTTCCCATGGCTGCAAGCGGCACCACAGTCTGGCGCCATTCGCGGATACGACATTGCGTCATAGAGGAAGAGGAACGGTTTTCTCCTGTGCCGTTCTTTTCAGGAGAACAAAATTCTTTCCCAAAAGCTCCCCAGGAGAATGTATTATGTCCTTTTGACCAAGGCAAGGTCACACATCCACTTCCAAACCAACGACCTGGCAATGGAAATGATACCATTAGGGACAGTTTCAACCTCTCATGATTTACCACTGAGCCACACAGTGCAGGGACACGTACCTGGATAACATTAGGAACCTGCCGCAAGGAAGGCGGGATGAGTGGCCATTGGGTAGGCCGTCAACAGGGTTGGTCCCAGTGCCCCTCAAAGGCCAGGGCTGATTCCTGGCAAAGTCAACTCTCTTGTCATTTTTGTGAGGAACTTCCACAAACCAAGGAAGCACTTAGACAAATTTCATCAAGAAAATGACACCAAGATTTGATCGGTTAATGAGCAACATATTTGGGTGCTAAGGGCACCCACACTCTTATTTCCTAACTCTCATTTCGGCCCCATTTTAAATCAACATTCAATTGTATTCTGTATCTTATTTCATAATCTGTTGGGAATTGTGTGGTTGAAGGACCTACAACCTATTCCACGGTGCAGCAATACAGGTCATTCATTCATTCATCAAAAACTTATCATGCTTTTATTAGGCACTTAAGACACAAAGATGGAAAAGATAAAGTCCTCATGTGGCAAGAAGTAATATATTGAGGAGGTCTTGCTCTGCTATGGAGAAAATCTATTAACTGTGCCTGAGGAGCAGAGGTGAGTTTAGAAAAAAATTCAGAGGTGGAGGCATTTGAGCTGGATATAAAAGTTCAGTTACAGTTGGCTGGGCAAAGAGGAGAGGGGAAAGGAATATGTGCCTTAGTCAGCTCAGGCTGCTAGAACAAAATACCACAGCCTGGGGGACTTCAACAACACACATTTATTTCTCACAGTTCTGGAGGGTAGAAGTCCAAGATCAAGGTGCCAGCTGATTCAGTTCATGGTGAGGGCTCTCTTCCTGGCTTGCAGATGGCTGCTTCCTTGCTGTGTGTTCACTTGGTGGATAGAGGAAGCTCCATCCTCATGACCTCATCTAAACTTAATTACCTCCAAATACTCCCACTTCCAAATACCACCATGCTGGGGGTTAGGGCTTCAACATATGAACCGGGTGTGTGGGGGGGAGGGGGACACAAACATTGAGTCCATAACAGCGTGTTAGGTCAAGGGGGCAGCAGTTACAAAGGCACAAAGCCATGAACAGCACAATGTGTTGAGAAAACACCAGGAAGTTGAACTTGCCTAGAGCACTTGGGAGGGTAAAGAAACAGAAGCTAGAAGGAGGCTGGATAATACCAGGCCAAGGCCATGCAGTGTTGTGGCAAAGGGCAAGGGCTCTGAAGGCAGGTCCCAGGCTGAACACAGGGGCCACTCTTAGAGTAGCTCAATGATTGTATTAGCTTTCCATGGCCGCCACTGCACGTTTTACAAACTGGGAGGCCTAAAACAGCAGAAATTGATTCTCTCACAGTTCTAAAGGCCGAAAGTCCAAAATCAAGGTGTCAATAAGGTTAGTTCCTTCTGGAGGCTTTGAGGAAGAATTCATTTCTGCCCCTCTCCTGGCTCCTGGTAGCCACCAGCAACCGCAGGCTTTCCTTAGCTGGTCGCCTCCCAACTCCAGTGTCTGCCTCTGTCCTCACATGGCCCCCTCTTCTCTGTGTGTCTGTCTCTTTCCCCTTCTCTTGTAAGGATTCTTAGTGGGCTTAGGGCCCACCCTCATGCAGACCAATCTCAAGATCCTTACCCTAGTGACATACGAAAAGGCTCTATTGTAAATAAAGTCATATTCTCAGGTTCTGAATGGACATATCTTTGTCGTATGGCAATGCAACTACATTATTAGATAATGTACTTAACCGTTTTGAGCACATTTCCTTATCCATGATATGGGGATAAAATCTTTATCCTAAAAAGTCATTGTGAGACTGAAATAACTTGCTGATTAGGGGCACCTGGGTGGCTCAGTCTGCTAAGCATCCAACTTTGGCTCAGGACATGATCTCAAGGTTTGTGGGTTCAAGCTCCACGTCGGGCTCCGTGCTGACACCTCAGAGCCTGGAGCCTGCTTCGGATTTTGTCTCCCTCTCTCTCTGTCCCTTCCCCTCTTGCGTACTTTCTTTCTCTCAAATACAAATAAACATTTAAAACAATGCTTTTAAATTGCTGAGAAAGAACTTGGTCTATAGTAAGTGCTCGGTAAACAGTAGGAACTCTGACTTTATCCTGTGGGGCAACAGAAGGCTTGCAAGAGTAGGTGTTTGAGGAGGGAGGAAAAGAAGAGTTATTTCCCAGATCTGGGAAGTAATGGCACAGCTGCACCATTCTAGGCTCTAAGCAATCCCTAGCTCAGTCAGTCTCTTGGGACAAACAACGGGGCAGAGGAGGCCCAGGCTGCTGGTCCCAGATCCCACTTCCAGAATCCTTGTACTGTACATTTCCTCAGTTCCTAAAGAATCTACTTTGCAAATGCTGTTTCATCAGTCCTTCTTGCAATGAATCATAAACTTTAAGCTAAAAAGACTATCAGAGACTTGATACCCATTTATAAGGCTGATTGGAGGCTGCCGGTGAGTTGTTAGGTCTTCCTGCCTAGTAATTAAAACCATGACATAAATTCATTTGATTTCAACCAAATCCCTCCCACTAAATACATTTCACGAACCCACATCCCTCGCTGTTTTAAAAATTCCCTGGCAATACTGGCAGCCATGTTCTCTGGGGCAGGTTTGAGGAGCTGTGGGGCACCTGGTCTCTAGGGAAAATCACGAGAAGTGAGCCACCTTCATGCCTCTAATAGCAAAAACAGTGAGGGTTTAAAAGCAGATGGTAACTAGACTTATCACGGGGATCCTTTCACAATGTATAAAAGTAGCAATTCACTATGATGTGCCCCTGAAATGAACAGGATATTGTATGTCAATTGCACGTTAGTAAAAAAAATAAAATTTAAAACGTAAAGAAGTCCTTAGTGGCAATTTTGTTAAAGAGTGTAATCAGTCTTCACAAGTACTGATGGCCTCCTGCAAGTGGCTGTGAGAAGTGCTTTGGGAGACAGGCTCTGAGATGTAATCCTGTCCCAAAGAGCTAACAATCTAGTTGAGAAGTGAAGATGAAAGGGGAAGGTCTTAGCTTAGATGTGGGAGGATGCATGGGGAAGCCGTGCCCATTCATTCCCGAATTTTCCTGGGGTAAACAGTGTCGGGTTGCACTTTGCTCATGAAAGCTTTTCGGTGTATCTTCCAGCTTGATGCTGAGAGTGTTTATAGGACAGAAGTAGGGCAAAAGCTACAACTCAGGGTTTCCCCGCACCCCTACCTGAGATCCAGCTTACCAGCCCACTGGTAACTCCTAGGGCCAGACAGAAAAGTTCCATGTGGCTTCCAAGGGGTAGCCTGGGAGGCTGCACTTTCCAGGGGAAGCCTGGTGTGAAGTTGCACCTGACCGGACACCAGAGTCAGAGTGGTGATGACTGAAAGGGGCCCCAGGGCCTGGGCCTCAGGGTGGGACTGGGGGAAAGTGGCCTGGAGTTACCCACCCTCCAGGTGGGCAGGGTGCAGAGGTGCTGAGAGGCCCAGGGAGCAGAGCGGCGGAGGCCAAGGGCCAGCCTGGAAAACCAGGAGGATGAGCACTTGAACCTCAAGTCTGGAGGCCAGGGCGGGACGTGACGTCAGCAGCAGATGGCACAGCAGGTGGGACCTGCTAGAGCGCAGCGAGGCCGCTAGTGCGGGGGACAGCACGACGGCCCCAAAGTGCTTCTCTTGGCCAAGATGAGAGGTCAGGCACCCTCTGCCACAATTCTAGATCCTGCTGGGAAAAGAAGGGGGTGAAGGTATGAGGAAGGAGTCTCGAATTCATTGGGTTTTAATCTAGAGTTGATCACGTTTAAAACCAGAAGTGACTAACTTGCCTTAAGAGGCAGATTTTAAGGGTTCCACCTTTGGTGGAAAGTGTGAGCTCAGGACCCGAGACGACTTCCGTTTCATAGGAATAAAGAATGCCTTTGAACATCTGAGTCTCCATGGACTTGTTCCTAAAAGTTTCCAACACCTTTTGCCTTTGCCAAGTGAGCGGAAATCACAATCATGTGTAGGGGGAGTTTAAGGCTTTCTTTATTAAAAGAAACGAAAGGGTTCAACAATGCCTGTTATTCCTAACTTTAGGAAAAGCCTAGCTCCCTAACATTTTTCTAAAGTCAGTTTTCTTTTCCTTTCTCTTTTTATTTTTTTTTTTGGAGTGGCAGTTTTGCAATAGAATTATATACAAGAGGTCTAGGGGCCTGGCATTTATGGCCTTTGTCAAATTTCAAAAAGTAATGGTCATGGGCGCCTGGGTGGCTCAATTGATTAAGCGACCGACTTCAGCTCAGGTCACGATCTCACGGTGCGTGGGCTCGGGCCCTGCGTTGGGCTCTGTGCTGACAGCTCAGAGCCTGGAGCCTGTTTCAGATTCTGTGTCTCCCTCTCTCTCTGACCCTCCTCCGCTCACGCTGTCTCTCTCTCACTCTCTCTCTCTCTCTCTCTCTCTCTCAGAAATAAATAAAACATTTAAAAAAATAACAGTCATTAGAAAGGGCCTTAGGTGTTCTTTAATGTTCTTTAACCAACAGCCTCATCTAATAACGGAGGAAAGTGCACCTCAGAAAGTGAACCCACTTCCCCAAGGCTGCTCTCTTAATTAATAGGAGAGACAAGGCTCTATCCCTACCTTCCCATTTCAGTTCTGTCCCTTCTGTGTTATATGAGAGAGTGAGTTTACTGATATGTGACTACATTAAGTGAATTTGAAATTCCAGTCAGACAGCACTGATGGCTATGTTAGCTTTTCAAACAAACTTTTAAGAAACTAAAAGCTTTTTTCTCTTTTAGGATGAAGTTTCTACTAATGTAAAGAAGCAGGATTGAATTACAGCCCAGAGCCACCCTACTTAAAGGTCCCCAAAGTTTTGAGTGAGTCTCTCTCTCCTCCTCTCTCTCTCTCTCTCTCTCTAACTGGTACCACATTTAGTGATTCATTTTTGTTTCCTTTAACTTTTTAGATGACCAAAATAGTTTATATTCATTGAGAAAATACAAATAATATAGACAAGCAGGGTAGGAAGTCAAACTACCCTAACCTCATCCCCTAAAGCCCACTCCCTAAACAATCACTCTGGGCAGTTTGGTGATTGATTATAAAGCATCTTCCCTCCAGTGGTGCTAGTCATTCTAACACAAAAGACCAGGGCTGCAGGGTAGAGCGGAGCAGGGGAATTGTTCTTTCAGGACTTCATAAGTTCTAACTACGACAAGAGACTAAGTAAAGGGTATGAAAATCTCCAACAAGCAAATTCTTTAGGAAGACATGCTGTTAAGGACTATCTCTCAGATTCTTAGGGTTATTTTACCCTTCAGCTGCTGACCTGGGTGGATGTCCTTAGGACGTGATTTTCTAGCTATTAAGAAGCATCAGAGTTTCTGCATGGGTTTGTTCAAAATCTTGGTGAAAAATAAAACTTATTATTAGATATAACCAAAGGTACTATAGTCCATTTTTATTTTATTTTATTTTATTTTATTTTATTTTATTCTTTTTGGACTCTGGGTTTCTTTTCTTCTTTCTTTTAGTGTTTATTTATTTTTGAGACAGAGAGCACAAGCAGGGGAGGGACAGAGAGAGAGGGGAACAGAGGATCTGAAGTAGGCTCCACACTGTCAGCCTAGAGCCCAATGCAGGGTTAGAACTCATGATCTGAGCCAAAGTTGGACTTAACTGACTGAGCCACCTGGGTGACCCTATATTTCACATTTTAACCCAGTGTTTACTTAAGTTGCCATGCTAACTCCCTCTTGGCTTGGACACCCTGAGAAAGAATTTCCTTCATTCCTGTGCACACATGCAGGATATCAGCTTGTGTCATTACAGGGAAAATTGTACCTTCGTGGTCTTTAATAAAATACAATTTATTTATTCCATTTAAGCAACACGGTACAAGAGGGTACAATATTACTTACGAGTATAAAGCAGAATATTTTAAAATTTGCATCCTGAGGCTGATAGCGTAGACTGGGAGCCTGGGTTCTGAGGCTGGGCAAGCGGGTTTGAATAGCTTCCTATGTGGCCCGGAGCAAGTCACATAATGTCTCTGAGCCTCAGTTTTCTCCTCCGTAAAATGGTGATCATGCTATAAAACATACTGTGTTCTTAAAAGTACTCTGGTTGTCTCTGTCACCGGTACTTCTCTGTGGTAGAAGTAGAATATCTTCCTAATATTCCCTGATATCTAATAATTTTTAAGATCTAGGATCTTCCCAATTATCCTTCTCAGGACCCCAGCCTTCTACCTCTTCTCATCTGGTCTCTTTCTTCCTCTTCTTTTGGCAGCTCCAGCCCCTAGAAGTCTTGTTTATTCCTTAGGACGTGCAGCTCAGCTCTTTGCCTCACTACACAAAGCCATGGGGATTTCCCTTAGGTCTAAAATGTCATCAGAGTCCCCGAGCGGCCTGCCAGTAGCACAGACGGCTTGACAGCAGCTCATAACAGTGTTCCCTCGAGCCCGATCACCCTCTCGGGTGAAGTGCTCCCCCAGCCAGGGTTTGTGAGGAGGGAAGGGCATGGGGATTTATCTTCTGGTAGAAAGTCTGCCATCTGCCTTCGGAGGCAAAACTGCCTGATCAGTTGCTTTTATAAGGAGAGATGTTAAAACTGTCAACTTACAAACTTATCCTCACAAAACACTGCTTTTAGATGTTTTACATACAGGGATCCCATGTTGGGAGTTCCCTAGAAATATAGGGTTCCATCGATAAAAACGTCTGACAAACACTGACTTGGGCTTTTCTGTTCGCTTCTTTGCTACTCAGAATGGAGACAGTTTCTTTCATTTTATTTTCCTTTGGGACCACTGAGATGCCTTCTCTCTCTTTAGTATTTATTTTATTAACCTTTTGTTTTCTCTCATACTCTGAAACTGAATGTTCACATTCCGCTATCTGAGGCATGTAGGCACTTTGCATCTTAATTTCTCTCGACCACAGCAGACTTTTACTTTCTCTTGCCTCGGTAAAATGCTGCCCCGGGCTGCATCTGCTGATTTTATAATGATCACCAACAACTAGCTGTAATGGATGCAGGGAGTATCATTTTCTTGAAGCCATAGCATCCTTTACAACAGTCAACTGATCAAAATTTTAGCTGGATGAAATTAGAGGTACACATTATTATTTTAACAAAAACAACAACTTAAATTCTAGATACTTTCCCTACAAATAAATACAACTTTATCAACTGCTTTGAAAGACTATCTTAATCATAGATATAAAACATATATAAAGAAACTCCTTAATCTGGAACTATTTCCTCCAGTCCAATAGGAAGAACTGACTTTGTATGATGATGCAGTTCTCCAAAAAACCTTAACACGGCTTTAAATAACCTACATGATCTTCAACATATAGTAGCAATCAGAGTATTAATCCCAAACTGTGTATCTTGAAGACTTCTGAAAAAGTGCAAACTTGCCTCTTTAGAAATAAAACTATAGGAAATAAGCCTATAGAAAAAAAAGAACCTTTCTTTAAAAGTACACACACACACACACACACACACACACACACACACACCACACTAGAGTGCTAAGCACCTTAAGCCAGTTGTTGGTTCTGAGCTCAGTTATATAGTCAGTGCCTAGAACAGGGCCTGACACACAGCAGGTGCTTAATACATGCATGGCAGAATACTTTAACAATAAAATGTAAAGAAACTTAAGAAATGACAAGTGTCCCTGGTAGATACAATTTTGCTTCTTAAATTGACCTTGAAACAAATTGAATAAACCTTATTTTTCTTTTTTTTTTTTTAATTTTTTTTAAAATTTATTTCTAGGAGAGAGAGAGACAGCGTGAGCAGGGGAGGGTCAGAGAGAGAGGGAGACACAGACTCTGAAATAGGCTCCAGGCTCTGAGCTGGCAGTCAGCACAGAGCCCGACGCGGGGCTCGAACCCACGAACCACGAGATCATGACCTAAGCGAAAGTCAGACGCTTAACCGACTAAGCCACCCAGGCGCCCCCTTATTTTTCTTTTAAGCTGACAACTGGCTACTATTGGTTTAAGACATAGCCAAAGACTCCTGCTGAGAAACATCAAGTAAATGGATATAATATATGTTATAATATAACTACCAAGTGTTGTAGCAGTCTAGAGACCATAGCTCTTTCATCCTAGCTTAGAATCCTTGAGATCTACTATCTTCTAATATCCTTTTAGTTTCAGTGAACAGAAAGCAACTCCCAGCTAGCCTAAGCAGAATACAGGGGTTGGTGATTTGTGGGAGGCCTTCTGGGGTGGCATATGGGCTCAAAGGACAACAAGCCCAGGGCACTTCAGGGACCAGGACTCTGTCTCTTTAAGAATGTCTGCTTCGTGGGGGTGCCTGGGTGGCTCAGTCAGTTGAGCTTCTGACTCTGGCTCAGGGCATGATCTCACGATTTGTGGGTTTGAGCCCCGCATCAGGCTCACTGCTGTCAGCACAGAGCCCTCCTCAGATCTTCTGTGTCCTACTCTCTCTCTGCCCTTCCCCTGCTTGCATCCTCTCAAAAATAAATAAAACATTAAGAAAATTTTTTAAAAGAATGGAGAATTTTTTTCCCATGACATTGGAATCATGGATGCATCAGCAGGACTCCTCTTATCTTCCTTTCCTCTCCCTGACGGGAGGTTTGCTTTCCGAGCTCCAATTAGAAAGAACTCAGAGAAGGGTGCTACTCGGTTCAGCTGGGGCACCATTCTCATCCCATGGACCGGTCTGGGTGGCTCGAGAGCAAGTGTGGCTCACCAGAGAATCTGGTAGCTCCCCTTTCAAGCATGCTAGTGGTATGGAAGGTGGGAATTCCCCCAAGAGTGGCGGGCATTCAGGTGAGAACGTACATTGTTCATAACGAAAATTACAGCTCTCGTTTGAAAGCTTTCAGAGATACACTGCCTTCCGTGGATTGGCCCTACCAGCCTTCCCCTTTCAAATTCTGGGTTCACAACCGTCTGTTACTTAAGGAGACTTGTTTCCAGAGACCAGTTAACTGAATTATTAAGTTATTTGACATTATTAAAATAGGATAACAGTTTTGTCTGAATGAAAAAGGCAAGCATGATCTTTCTTTACGAGATCAAAACACTTCTACCGTAGCTTAACCAGATTAGAACTGCATGATGGACTGACGAATAAAATTTCCTCCATTTACCAACCGGAAGCTCAGGCAAGCCGCCCGCTCTGAGGTCTCAGCGGGTGGGGACTGGACTGCTTCCAGACGAGAACGTTAGACATGAAAGCCCAGCGTCTCAACAAGTAAGTGCAGCCCACGGACTGGTGTTTGATTTTTGGCTTTATTTTATAAAAATACACAACTTAAATACATATGACACTCTCTATACAAGACATAAACAACCATTGGATCTGACATTTTCAGTTATTTCAACAGAAAGCAAATATGCAAATTACCTCGTAAGAGCAAAGGGTTTCTTCAGAGGCTCTGCATTCATAGTCAGAGGGGACGATGGCCCCGTGGGAAATCCATGCAGGGCACGGACCCACGCCATCCGACTGGCCAACAAGTCATTTCACCAACAGAGCCATTTTGGCACGGCTTAATATTGCACTGCTTGTTAGACACAATCTAACTTACCCACATCACAAATTTAAACTTTTTGTCTTTTCTAGAAATGTTGAATGGAAAAACCAATGTGCAAACATTACTGACTGTCTTACAGTTGTGCTAAGTACCAAACATGAGAAGTGTGAACCCTCCTTCACTTTGCAAAACTTGCAAGGGAAGGTGGGTAGCTGTATTTCGCAGCTAAACTCATTTTCCAAAGTTTTACAAAAACGTTGGCAGACTCAGAGCGAGCTAGATGGGAGTGCAGGGGAGAAGGGAGTGACATTCCAGCGCCTACGGAAATTGCTTTTGAGAAGGGCACTGTCACTGTCACTGTCAGAGGCAATCTGCACACGGCTCCACCCTTTCTAACTTGGGACTGAAATACCTCCCTCACCCTCGGTCACTGTTCTCTGGGGAGCAGCTACTGATTCAGGGCTCAGGGGGGCTGCGGACATGCTCTGGCTTTCTTTCAGAAACTTAGCTGCCATATCTATGGCTCTTTTAACTAACAGTGAACTAGGTACTGGCTTATTCATGGATATAAAGAAATTATTTACCAGTTGAGAATTCAATGCATGAGAACATACTAGAGTAAGTTTCCTGAGGTAAATGTAAGCCTTAAAGAATAGTGTGCAACCTACAGAATTCCAGCAACTTATCCCGGGTAGCAGCAATCCTGTAGGCCTGGACTTTTAGGCTAACAGGCTAGCAGAGCCAAGGACACATCTGTGAGTGGAAATGAAATGATGAGCTGGAGTGAAAGAAGGGTTGACAGCTGAGAACACCAATTCAAAGGAAGCCACAAAGGGGAACAGAGGGGGAAACAGGAGGGTGTATGTTAAAGTGCTTAGGTAGGATGGGCAATTAGTTGGAAAGGCCTCAAGGGACTTCTAACAAGCTTTAAAACTGTGATTTCTTGGTGACTCAGACATGGAGGTAATGGGCTCTTCTTTAATAAGAGCTCTACAAAACTTTTCATTCTTTTCTGCAAAATGAAATTCTCCATCAACTTTTTTTAGCTGATAGAATGATTCCACGACTTGTTACTCTCACTGATATACTTTGAAGTCCTAACTGGCTGAAGGACTTTAATCAAGTTGAACTACAAAGTACATATTTGCACCGAGAATTTAAATTAATGCACACAGGTCTACACAGTTTTGTATGGAGTTTGTATGGAAAACCTTTGCATTGCGAATCATGCTTCATTATCCCTTAATATTCTACTCAAGGATTATGGCACTTGGACAAATTCTAGGACCCCGAAGCCTAACTTTCTTCTTTTTTTTCTTTTACATAAATGAAGTCATTCATGGCCACCCTTCACCTTAACAATGAAGGTGCTGGGGACTGAGTTCCAAGGCCTAAGAACCCAAATCAGGCTAAATTCCAACAAGTCACTTGTACAGGAATGGAAGCTCAAGACCTCTCTGCTGTAACTGCTCATCTGCACAATGAACTTGAATGAGGTGACGAGTATGGCCTTCAGTGACAGCGATGAGACTGGCACAGATTTCCATGGGGCCACATGTGCTGTGAGCTGTCATGTCCAGGTGGGCTGACACTACCATGCACAATCCCTCGCTTGGATGACTCTAGTTCTGTTGCAAGAATACATCTACGTTTGATTTCGTTAGGTGTGATGAAGGCCTTAAGCAAAATTGAAATTCAGAAGAACTTTGGGTTAGAATTCTGCAGTCCCAGAAGCTATTTAAAATTGAAAGTCTAGAGGAAAATCCCCAGGAAATCATATATCAGACTCAATTCGTAAAAAAGAAGCATTGTCAGTATCACCGAGGTGAAAAGTGATGCTAGAAAACAGTGCTCTGGTTCCCCCACAACAAGCTCGAGGCAGCCTGGGTACAGCTGCACCGAGTGAATTTGCTTCGGACAGAAGAATCCAGAAGACTGCAGAGGGCTTGAGTTAAACTGGCTTTTCTTCTTAGGAAGAAGGTGAATGCTGTTTGGTGATCAATATGGGACAGCTGTTTAACATTCACAGACACTAACATTTTATGTGCCTTGAAGCCCCAATTAGGGCAGGGCAGTCACCGCTGACAGTATGAGCAATGTACTGAGATTAACGATAAAATGAGTCAAACAGTGAGACCAGTTCTGACTGGAAGGATGGTCAGTCTTGATATACTTGATCTTCATCCATCCTTGGATACTGAGGCGGAGACTGTGGCAAGAGAATGTACTTCTCTGTGTGAAATTAGTTTTCATAATCCATAGTTTAAAAATATCACTATTCAGAAATATGGAGCCAAAGCAAAAATTAGAGGTTCTTCCCACACAGGCCTTCAGATCTCTCCCTCCACCACCACCCCAAGGATCCGTGCTTCTCCCTGGTCAACGAGGACTTGTAAGGGAGGGCTGCGAGGTCAAGGCCTGTGAGGGAGGAAGAAGGAGGTAGCGGCCGAAAGCCAGGGATTCAAGAAGATAAAAATGACAGATATGGTGTATTAAAAAAAAAAAAAAATAAGAGGAAGAGAAGAGGAAAGAGGGGAAACTCATGTGGATGAGGAAGCGAAGATGAGGCCCGGCTCCTGGAGGAGCGCCCCGCCTTTGCTGCCTGTCCGGACAAACAGTGCAGAAGCGAGAAAAGGCATAAGCCTCATTCGCCGGCTTCTCCTGCCCTCTGGCCTTGCCCTCTGGGGCTGTGTGCACAAGCTCTCATGCGGCCTGCAAGCACTTCTGTTTGGGGTCAGATTCCCAATTCCTGGGTGCACGATGCTCCCTACACTGCCAGAGCTCAGCGCCTTTCCACGGTTAAAGAAAGGCCTCAGATCCGGGGCGAGCCCAGGGCCAGCCAGTGTAGCCTGAACTTGTGGCTGCTGCTGCCTTTTCTCCCTCAGGACTAGCTTGTTCCTCCCCCTGGTGGCTGCAGAAGGAGACCAGACTGCATGTCCTGAAAGGGCTGCTCAACTTGGAACCACATCACCTCAACTCACGAACTTCCAAAGGGCTGTCGGGAGTTCATTCGTTATAGCTTGACCAATGGTTCGAACACCACCTAAGGAACGTGTAAAAGGAACAACTCGCTTGTGAGGTCCCACCAACCTTTGGAGGGGTTTTGATATTGTTTGCTTCTGGTTTTGTTGTCTCCTTCTCTGATGAATTAAAAGAAAAAAAAAAGGAAAAGCATAAGGGTTCTCCTATCCTCATTCCTCCCTCCAGAAACCTCGCGGACCTTCCTGAGTGAAGCGCGTACGGGACGCTACAATTACAGAGCTTACAAAGGAAGCAGGGAACACATTCAGGTTACCTGGAAGTATGAAGTGAGCTACCGTGTCCGAGGGCGGCTCGGCTCTCTTCACCGCTCTGTGAAATGTCTGGGAAATGGTAACAGGCACCTCGATTTCTCATTTACAAAGGACAACAAGGGCGACAAAGGCAGTACGATTTTGTGGAGGAGAAAAAACAAAAACACATCGGTTATTTCACTTCTAGGGAGAGTCAGTTGGTACTTGAGGCCCACACTTGTCTTTCTCTCTTACTTCCTACTTGATGTTCTTCAGGAGGGCTGTCCGGGCGTTCACAACTGCTTTGAAGGCATCTTCGCTACCAGGCGCCACGCACTTGTCAGGGTGAAGCAGCACCGCGAGTTTCCGGTAGGCTTTGTTGACTTCGTCCCTAGGAGAGAGCAGCAAGGCCCCGTGTCAGCAACGGGCCAGCCCCCGACCCTGCGGCCGGGCTGCCTGGAGTTACATAATAACTCTCGCAGAAGGCATCTCCCCAATAATGACAGCCTTTCGTCAAAAGCGAGACGAAAAGACGAGGAGACAAACGATACACAAATAAATCGTATGTTACATAAAAGTAGAAAAAAGAAACGCAGGATGAAGTGAGAACGGAACCACCAAGAAAGCCCTCGGTAAAAGAAAGATCCGATGAAAAGGTCCTCGGTGCCCGGCGGGGCCATGCATCGGGGCAGGCCCCTGGGGCAGGGCTCCGAAGGAAGGTGGGGAAAGACAGAGCAGCCCAGGGCGAGGGGGGGGCGGGGGGGGAGCCGACAGCAGGGCCCCAGCACAAACTTCCACGAGGACACCGCTGGGAGGCGACAAAAACAAAGCTGGCCAGGATGCAGGGCTCCGCAGGGGACAGGCCTGCAACCAAGACAGCAGAAAGAGTGGATCTGATAACAATGACACCAGTAGGTGTTTTGTGACAAAAGGGTGCTGAGAAAGCTGCTTCTTGAAGTTAGGAGACAGGGAGGAGGTTGTCACAATGACCCAAGCACAAGCCCAAGAGTCTGGATCAAGGCGTTTGTGGAGTCACACCAGCGAAGACAAGAGACAGCACAGAGAGCTGGCAGAGCAGACGATGGGCTGGATGTACGGGGTGGAGACGGAAGAGGAAGGGCTGAAATGAATTCCAGGGTCACGGGGACTCGGGCTCAGGGAAGATGGTCACACCACTGACCAAGAAAGGGAGGCTCCAGAGCGGTACCTGAGAGCTACAGTGAGAGAGAAGAAACAAGAGACGTGAACGTTATCGGGAGAGGAAAGGAGCAGCACCGAGTGTTTCCTCAAAGACCAGGAAAGGCCCGGGGGGGCCCCTGGCTTCGCAGCTCTTCAACAAGCAGGCACTGGCTGGGCAGGAGCCTGGCCACCGCCCGCCCTCTCCCTGCTCTTCAGCGTCCTCTGGGGTCAGGCTCCAGATACTTCTCAGTGCCCAGCCCCTCCTCGGGTCAGGTGTAGCTCTGTCCTTACCAAATAGTTTTATTTCCCACCTTCCTTTTGTAATTCAGGGCTCCAATTATCCTATAAGCCTGGATATGGTGCTTTCCCAAATGCCCTAGTTTTCTCCTTCCTTTTTTATCAGAAGGACTTCTATTTGGCTCTCCAAATTAGAGAGATGACCTCTGATTATCTTGCATGTGATGGAAAATCTGTGTCCACTTGGAAAGACTGAGGTCACAGGGCCATCTTAACAGTTCAGGTTGGGGGCATGTATTCTAAGGCTTTTCTTGCTTTCTGCTCTCAGGTGAGTCCTGAATTTTCTTGCTTTAAAACATGTACAGGGCTTTTTTATACAGATAACTTTGATATTAGCTAACAAAAATCCCATTCTCCCTCTCTGAAGAAATCTGAATAGCCAGAATTCTTATTTCCCCAAAATAACAAAAATATTAACAAATATATTTAACAAAGTAACATTAATTCTACTGAAGATGAAAATTTTCTTAAAGTTCAATAATAGTAAATGCATCACTGAACAAACATTAAAACTCTTTCTAACTTAAGGTTCTCTGAAATGTGCTCACTGCCATACAAAATGTGTTTGATAGACCCAGAGAAACAAAGATAAGGAAAGTCCATGTTTATATTGGTTAACAGTATAGAACTTAAGGAGGTCCTACAAAGTTTGGTAGAGTCCAGTTAACATAGTAAATAAATAAGGAGCCCAAATTTTATTTTTCTTCCATAAACACCGCTCTACCTTAACTAATATGTAAGGTTTCTTCATTTTAGAGCCAATATCCCTTGGAGGTGAAATGGAAGACTTTAGAAGGAGACTATGGAAATCCAAAAGCACATTTAAAAGGCACAATTCACTGAGCTATACACAGGAGATCATCTGAATTGTTCACATGTATAAAGCCTCCTCAGTAACTCCTGGCAAGTCGCGGTGACCAATAACTGTCTTCCTCTTCCTTTCCCCTCTTCCCTTCTAGACTTGAAGATATGCTATGAGATCAAAATGGAAAAGAGAAGCTTAATGCTATTGGTACCAAGAAGGCATTTCAACATGTACTTTTCTTTTGTGGGAATCAAGGTGAAAAAGTAGAAAGGGAGAAGGATGGGGAGAAAAGTTATGGTACAAAATAAAAAGAGCCGAGAACCCTTATAATTACAATAAAAATTGTAATATGTGCAGTAACGGAAGTGTTATATTATTAAAAGTTATATAAGCATACTGAACAAGGGTTTATTTTTACACAAGCAACAAAGAAAAGTGATTATATTTCTCATCCTCCCAAATATTTCTTTTGGCTAAAAATAAAACCATTTAACATAAATTCCCATCCGGATAAGGACCTAGCAGGATTCTGAGTGCAGCAGAAAGAGACAGAGCCAGGCAGACACACAGTGTTCAAGGTCAAGAAACAACCTACGGTACTTGAACATGGTTTAGTCCCACTGAATCCCAGGTTTCTCACCTATAAAATGAAATGTTTGGATAAGCTGCTAATGCTCTTGTCCTCTTCTAAAACTCTATGATTTTGTAAGGTATTTTTTTTAAATTACATTTGCTTCTAGGCTCTTTTTCAATACAGACAAAATCAGAGCATACGGTTTCAGAAAGTTTTTATGCAATACACCACAAGGTTCCCTCATCAGACAACGGTGCCCCCTGTTTTGTTTCTTTGGTACTCAGCTAGCCCGGTGAAGAAGAGTTATCACATAATCTAATACATTTCTACACAACTTCATATTTCTAGCCAGTTACAAGAAGATGTATCGGACCTGTGATATTGACAACCGAGCTTTTCTCCAGGACAGGACTCGGCACTAAAATCCTAGAGCGCTGCTTACCTTGAGGCCCCAGGTTTGACTCCCAGCATGTCCCAGCTGTCTTTACTGTTTCGAATTCTGCGAATGGTGTCTGCTTGCTCTTTGGTGAAACTAGCACTGCTATTCGGGACAGGGCGTTTGCCGCCATTTTCACATAAATCAACAATAGATACGTAGAAGGTCTGCAAAAAGAAATCATCACAGAGTAGATCTGATTTTGTGAAAATAGGAATTCCTTTTAAGCATAACTTAAATAATTTTAATGCATTCTAATAACTCTTTAATTCACCATAAAGATTTTTCTCTTTTATCCTATGTGTGTGTTTATATGCGGGCATGTGCTTGTGTACTTTTTTAAGAACACAAAAGCATAAGGAACAAAATTTAATGGCTCATAATCCTGTTCTCAAATAATCACACTTGAGGTTAAAAAGTAATAGATGAATACCATTAGAAAAATTCAAACGGTAAATGAAAGTGTAAAATGAAATGTCTCCCTGCCCCTCAAGTTCTTCTCCTTGAAAGAACCATTGTTAATGTTTTTTTTTGAGTATCTTCCCAGAAAAATTTTCTATTGGAATATCAGTACCTCCATCTACACACTAAACTTTTACATAAAAGAGAACAGGTTACACGTACTGCTTCGCTCCTTGCATTTTTTTTCACATAAAAATAGACCTTGGCCTCTCTCTCCAGCTGTATACAGACACTTTCTTCCTTTTTGATGACTGTTCAGTGTTTCACTGTGTGACTATATTTTCATTTATTTAACCAACTCTCTATTTTCTTAGTTAAGGCAATTGTTTCCAGGTTTTGCTACTACACACAGTGTTTTAATGAATACTGTGTGTGTGTGTCGGGGGCGAGGGGGTGTATCTCTGCACACACGTGGAGATACTGCTTTAAAATAAATTCCTAAAAGCAGAAGCAATAAATAACAGTGTACGGGCATTTTAACTTTTGATTTTGACAACTTTCATATGAAGAAATGGTGCCATTTGCACTCCCATCATAGTGTCTGATGGTGTCATTTCTCTACACCCTTTGTCACTATGGGGCAGCATCACATAGCTTCACTTCTGCCAAACCTACGTGTGTCACACAGTTTTAATTCGCATTTCTTTAATTGTAAGTGAAATTGAGTGTCTTTTCATATGCTTATTGCTTTTTCTGTAAAATGTTCAGATTCTTTGCCTTTTTTTACTTTCTTTGAGGTGAAAACTATTTAAAAAAATTTTTTTTAATATTTTATTTAGTTCTGAGAGAGAGAGACAGCGTAATCAGGGGAGGGTCAGAGAGAGAGGGAGATACAGAATCTGAAACAGGCTCTAAGCTCTGAGCTGGCAGTCAGCACAGAGCCCGATGCGGGGCTTGAACCCACGAACCGTGAGATCATGACCTGAGCCGAAGTTGGACGCTTAACTGAATGAGCCACCCAGGCGCCCCAACTATTTTTTGATCCCGCTCATATATCATACTCTGTGCACTGTTACTATTGTTAGATCAATAGAGACTATACAATCTGAAAAAGAGAGAAAAGGGGAAGAAAAATAAACATGGCCTCAAGGATGGTGGGACAAAATGTGCAATACTGACCCTTGGTTTTCTGCCTGGAGTTCCTTTGCTAACCATGTCACAGAGAGGTGGAGTCTGAGTAGACCCAAAAGCCCACTGAACTAAAGAGACAGAGATCAGAGCTTAAGCCACTGAGTGGCTACAATGTGCAGAGCAGGGCCCTGGAGAGGAAGAAGCTATGCAGGGTTGGGCCCCAGAAGTCCATGTGGAGGTTCTCCCCCAGGGTGAGACCAGCAAACAATAGCTATCATGGGCTTGAGAAGAGAACTGACATACTGGAGGTCTAGCGGTGCTATGGGAGAAGGCATTCTGGAAACACTACGGTCTGACCTGCCACAGGGCAGAGACTGCCTTATTACCTCATAGCGCCCCAGTGTCTAGCTGAGACACCACAGAAAGGCTATGCCGTGGTAGTGGGCTCATCCTGACAAAACCAAGAGCTGATGAGATCTGCTGAGAGACAGAATTTCAAGGCTGAACTCTGCCATGTTAGAAAAGCTTGGGCAGCACTTTGGGTTTCCTTCAGACCCTTGTTCTTAAAGCAAAAAAACCAAGCCCACACAAGTTCAGTGTAATCTGCCAGTAACTGAACTCCCTGCTGAAACAAGAACTAATAGTCTATTAAGGAAAATAAAGAATCTAGAGCCTCTACAATGTATTATCCACAAGGTCGAATGTTCAGACAAAAATCAAATGTGATCCACAGTCAGGAAAAAAAATTGTCAATATAAACTGGACCCAAGATGGTTCAGATATCAGACTTAGCAGACAAAGACTTTAAAGTAGCTGTCATAAATACTTCAAGGAAGTAAAGAAAATATAGCCTTAATAATTGGGGAGAGAGAGAGAGAGAGAGAATATCTCAGCATAGAACCAGGAACTACACAGGAAAATCAAATGCAAATTCTAGGACTGAAAAGTACTAAATTGAAAAATTCACTTGGTGGATTAAACAGTTGTTTGAAGTCAGATCAAGAGAGACTATATAATCTGAAAAAGAGAGAAAAGGGGAAGAAAAATAATCAAGGATGGTGGGACAAAAATAAAATGGTCTAATATATATGTAGCTGGAGTCCCAGAAGGAAAAGAGTGAAAATAGAACCAAAAAAATCTTTTGAACAAATAATAGTGAAAAACACCTGCCTAGCAATCTGAGAAACTCAGCAAACACCAAGCAGGATAAATATTAAGAGAATCACATGCAGGCACAGGGCCCAAATGCTGAAACTCTTGAAAGTGGCTAGAGGAGGGAGAAAAACTAACCATTATGAACAAAAGAGTAAGAGTAAAAATGGGTGCTAACATCTCATGAGATTCAGCAGAGGCCAGAGGAGAATGGACCATCATCTTTCAAGTGCTGAAAGAAATGTAATCCTCAACAGTCATTATTTATATCCCTTGAACAAGTCACTTTACTAACCTTAGGTGCTATAACATCAGAAATGAGAATAACACCCACCACATAGTAAGAGTCTCCAATGAGATGAAACATGTAAACGTTGCCAGAATTACAAAATACTATTCAAATGTGCTTAAGTATCATTACTGCACATAAATGGGTACAGACTCGCACAGGACCCTGTGCTGAATGGGCCAGAGAGAGAGGCAAGCCAACATCAACCTTATTTGGTCTTGAAATAGAAGTTACTGATGCCCCAGTCAGCCTGTCAGCCAAGGATGAAACTCGTCTTCCAGTAGCGGTGTGACATCTTATGAGAAAGAAATTCAGCATAAAAGATTAAATGAAATCCCACTCAGTAATTAAGAACAACTCTTTATAGTATAGCTACACTCTTTGAAATGTTAAAAATTCCCAAAATAATCACATATATTCATCAGTAAGAAAAAATGCATAATTCATGGCTCCACTTACTTCCAAATGTATCTGTAATTAAGAGTTGACTTTACTTTATAATTTATTATTTTAAAACGCCTCATTTCTTTAAAGTGATTCAAGATTCGTAATTTTTAAAAAATGACCATCCATTGGGGTGCCTGGGTGGCTCAGGCAGTTAAGCGTCCGACTTCGGCTCAGGTCACGATCTCACTGCTCGTGAGTTCAAACCCCACATTGGGCTCTGTGCTGACAGCTCCGAGCCTGGAGCCTGCTTTGGATTCTGTGTCTCCCACTCTCTCTGCCCCTCCACTTCTCACTTTCTGTCTCTCCCAAAAATAAATATTTTTTTAAAATGACCATCCTTTCAGGCTGCAATATGAGTACATCCTTCCATTGCCTACTTGGTGGCTAAGACCTTGTTTGTACATGTGACTGGATGGACTTCGCAATGATGGTCCCTTAATCTCTAACTGCACCACACATATTCACTCTGGCAGGGCAATTTTGCCAAGTAACACTTCCATCTAACTATTTGTGCAAATGTTAACACCATTAACCAAAGGTATTTTTTTTTTAATGTTTATTCATTTTTGAGAGACAGAGAGAGACAAAGCATGAGCGGGGAAAGGGCAGACAGAGGGAGACACAGAATCTGAAGCAGGCTCCGGGCTCTGAGTTGTCAGCACAGAGCCCTGCATGGGGCTCCAACCCACAAACCGTGAGATCATGACCTAAACCAAAGTTGGACGCTCAACTGACTGAGCCACTCAGGCACCTCCACAACCAAAGGTAGTTTTAAAGAAAATCTTTCAGCATTCAAGAGTCTCTCATGGTTTTCCTCCCTCACTCTCTCCAACTATTTTTCCCCTTCTCCTCCCCTATGGTCCTCCATTAAGTTCCTCCAAATCCACCTATAGGTGCAAACATATGGTATCTGTCCTTCCCTGCCTGACTTATTTCGCTCAGCATAACAGCCTCAAGTTCCATCCATGTTGCTACAAATGCTGAGAACAAATTGAGGGCTGATGGGGTGGAGGAGAGGGGGAGGGGGGATGATGGGCATGGAGGAGGGCACTTGTTGGGATGAGCACTAGGTGTTATATGGAAACCAACTCGACAATAAACTGTTTAAGAAAAAAATTAAATTAATAAATAAATAAATAAATAAAATCTTTGTTGTACTGTAAGTATATAATAACTGTTGTTAAACTTGATGATCATCAAAATCACCTAGAAATCTTTTTCAAAATATAGATTCCAGAGCTCCATTACAGCACTAAACTTCTAGTAGGTATAGAGCCCAGAAATCTATATTTTGAAGAATTTCCCAAAGTAACTCTGATGATCAGCCAGGTCTGTAGTCAGCAGGCAGATATTATTCTCACACACACACACACACACACACACACACACACACTCTCTCTCTCTCTCTCTCTCTCTCTCTCTCTATCTTTATCTCACCAGCTTCTAAAAGACCAAACTTATTCTAATAAGAAATTCCTATTACATTTTTGTTTCTCATCATTTAAACTAAAATTGGGCATGGTTAGCTTTGATACAAACAAAACGATGCTAACTTACCTGGAACATCTCATTGATTCCTTCTCCGGTTTGTGCTGAAGTTTCAAAGTACAAGAATCCTTTGCTTTCAGCCCAGAGACGCCCTTCACTTTCATCCACACAGCGGTGCTTGGTACAGTCAATCTGAAGTAGAAAGTTGGGGGACAGAGACAAGACCCCAAACATGAGCCACTAAAATGGGCCCAGTGAGGTCTTCATCAGTTCTTTATTGAAGCAAAAACTACTCCTAAATGAACTCCCAGCACTAGTATATGCAATTATAAGGACCAAAGGGCCAAAAAAAAAAAATTGCTAATACTGGACACAGACTGATTTTCTGTGGTAAAATGACAAGTGCCTGCTCCCAGACCACTTTATCCTTTGAGAAAACTCTTGCTACTCAGAGTCTACCTCTCCTGCTCAGGCACCAGTACCCTCCCCTAAGTATGGCACCGGAAGAAAATGGATAAATATCCAGATACACCAGAGTTGGTGGTTTTATTCTTTATGTCTTAGGGATGTAGGTTTTGAAAGAGGTTGATTCCCATATTATAGAATAAGGACTTCTTTTCTTTTCATTTCTTCCCCAAAACTCAGAGCCACACTCCTCCCATAATGAATCCAGAAAGTTGAGCATACCATTGCAAAGCAGTTACCTTGTTGGCACACACTGCAAATACGATATTCTCCATGTTTCCGTGAGGCCCCAGATCGTGTTTCATCTCTGCCAGCCAAGCATCAAGGGCATCAAAGGAGTCCTTCTGCCCAACATCATAGACCAGTATTACACCTTGTGTGTCCTTGTAAAACTCATTACGAACCTTCACATAAAAGAACAGGTACACAAATTGTAGGTTTTGTGATTTTATAAGAATATATCTCACAGTCACGAATGTAACGTAGTGTGTTCTTTGGTGTAGTCATAGTATTTGCTATTATATCTCAATATCTACTAGTCTTTAAGGGACTTTTTTTTAATGTTTTATTTATTTCTAGGAGAGAGAGAGAGAGAGAGACAGCGTGAGCAGGGGAGGGTCAGAGAGAGAGGGAGTCACAGACTGAAACAGACTCCAGGCTCTGAGCTGGCAGTCAGACGCGGGGCTCGAACCCACCAACCGCGAGAATATGACCTAAGCGAAAGTCGGACACTTAACCGACTAAGCCACCCAGGTGCCCCAAGGGACTTTTTAGAAAATCAAAATAACATGATAAAAAAAATGGCCTAGCACAAGGTCTTGTGATGAAAACAATAGCCTCCTGCCCTACCCTCCTCACCTCTAGTCCCACTCCCTAGAGGCAATCTTTTTTATTTCCTTTTATTTATTTTTAAAAATTTTTTATGTTTACCTTATTTTTGAGAGAGAGAGAAAGAGACAGAGAGATAGAGCGGGAGTGGGGGAGGGGCAGAGAGAGACAGAGACAGAATCTGAAGCAGGCTCCAGGCTCTGAGCTGTCAGCACAGAGCTCGACGCGGGGCTCGAACTCACAGACTGCAAGATCATGACCCGAGCTGAAGTCAGACGATCAACCGACTGAGCCACCCAGGCGCTCTGAGGCAATCAATCTTTAATTCTTGCTAGTAGACCTTAAAATAACACAAATTCTATACAGTGAAGTTCTATTTAGGAAGAACCAGAAGGTGAGTGAACAATGAAGAACTTAAGGCAAAAAAGGACACAAGCATCAGCCACAGTACAGACCTCTATCTATCACATCCCAAAGCTGCCGCCCCCAGGCCGCTAGGCTGAGCTTCCTCATGACCCTTGGGTCTGCACACCAACTTTAGAAGCCCGAACTCAGAGCCTCAGTGTGATGTAATGGAAAGGAGCACAGGCTCTGGAGTCAGGTCTGGGTTCATACTTAACTTACTAGTTGTGCGATCTTGGGCAAGTCACTTAACCTCTCTGCATCTCAGTTTCCTTGTCTGTAAAATGCAGATAATGCTACCTACTTCACAGGGTTATGATGAGGATTAAATGAAATAATGAAGGCAAAGCACCTAAATGGTGCCTGGAAAACAGTGTGTATAAGCACCTTCTTCCTTCCTTCCTCACATTCCTTCTCTGATTGTCCTCCTTTGCTATTTTTTACTAGAAATGGTGTCTTGCTTCTGGGGCATATACATAATTCTAGGAAGAGGCAGCATAAAGTAGAGGACACACGACAGTGACAGAGGCAACGACACGTGGAGTGGGTGAGGAGTAACATTGACGGATTGGGGGTTTCGGCCAGAATTCGTGTAAGAACCTTGACAGAGGCCACGTATTCCCCATCCTCAGAGGGCTCCAGCATGTACGCACACACGCTGGATGTGCAGTGAGAAATGAAGACAATCTACACACATCCTGCTTGAAGGTTCGGTTTCTGAGCATGGACAGATACCTGAACCAAGACTGCAAATGCCTACTAAGTTGCAGAAACAGAAGAAGCTGTCCCCTACAATTAAGACCAACAAAACCAGAAAGAATGTAAAGTGATGAACAGCTCCCCAGTCCTCACGGTGCTCAGCCCAGCTGCAATGGTGAAACCTGGCCTCTCCCTTCTTTCCTGAAACTCGTGCTGCCTTGGCTCCCATATACCACATTCTCCAAGTTCTTAACTGGTCTTTTACCAACTCCTCCTCTCTCCATTGCTCCCCCTCCAGCCTGCCACCATCAGTCCACCAACCCTGTCGTGTACCCTCAGCCCTTCTTCTTCCATCCTGCCTCCCAACTCAGCAACACCAGCCACCTGCAAGGTGAGACCCTGCAAGGTGAGCCTTTTCACCTGTGCTTGCAGACCTGTAATTCCAATTAGCTCTAGACTCTTCCAGCTGAATGTCCTGCTGGAATCTCAAATTCAATATGGACAATAGAAAAGCCTCCATCTTATTCCTTCCCAATCTCTTCCTTCCCTTGAACTTCTGGCAATAAAAGGAGCACACCATTCTGAGTCACGTGGATGGAAAGCCCAGCGTTAACTTTGCTGCTTCCCTCTGCCTCACTGCCCAGCAGGCACAAACAGTCCTGTAGAAGCTTCCTCCGCCATGTTTCCAGCGCCTGTCACTTCCTTTCCATTTTCACTTGCCAACATCACACTATCTCTTGACTGCCACTCCAAGAACTTTCTAAGTAATCCCCCCAGCAACATTATACATCCTGCATATTTACCTTTTTAAAGCCCTGGTTCCAAAATTCTTTAGTGTTTCCCTACAGCCAACCTCCTAAAGTTCAAATTCTTTTAGCTGGCGTTAAAAGTTCCTGACCAGTCCTCCACCAACTTCCCAGGCTTACCCTACTCCTACCTGCTGCACTTCAAACTGGATAATCTCTCTTTCCCCAAACCCGCCCTATGCCAACTCCATCTGGAAACAGACACCTCTTTACCTTCAATCTTCCAGGTTTAGCTATAACAGTGTATCTTTCCGGCAGTTTTCTCCTGCCCCACGCCTCATCATCTAACCCCTACCCCTGCCAAACAGAATCTAACCTCTACATCCCTGCGCCGGTCTCTGTGCTTCTAGAAGTGCTCGTATCGCTTCCTGTCTAGTTGTATGGTTGGTAGCATATACAGCTGCCTTCCCCACTAGACTCTAAGAATGTCAAGGCATGCATCTAGATGTGTCCTTCTAGGTCGCCAATAGGGCCTAACAGGTGTAGTATTTGAGACATTTTAAATCAAGAACAGCTGAATCTCGGGAATGAAAGTAGAGGCCAAAGGGAAAAAGAAAGAATTCCAAGATACAAAGTATGTTATCCAGAGGGAGATCTGTGTGTAAACAGAGACTTGGGCAAGCTCCACGGATTTCTCTTTCAACTGACTCAAGTTTAAGTCTGGGCTCAGCAACTAGCTACCTCTGCAATCTTAAGTGGTTTTATCACCTCAAGCTCTAGTTTCCTCATCTGTAAAATGAAAAGGTCAAAGTCGATGCCTCAGTGGTCCCCTACAGTTCTATCATTCTCATCTCCCAAAACAGCTTTCTATTGTTAGTCTTGGAAGTCAGGCTGCAGCCAAAATTTAATTAAACAGGATGCTAAGGGAATTGGAATTATTTCTCAAAGCAAAGATGGCAAACTTTCTAGCTTATAGGTCAGAGAAAGCTGTTAGTTTAATACCACTCGGGCCTCAAGAAGGTTCTATAGACTGTCTAACTCCTACCAACGAGCCCCAGAATACAGCTGTGTACACCGGGGAAGAAGGGCTGCTGCTGGGATACAGGCCCGCCATTCCCCCAAAGTCCTCTCTTCGACACTTTCCTCTGAGAGTGCTGTCTCACATTCTAAGCGACCATCTTTTCTCAGCAGGCCCTCTGGGTAAAACTGTCAGGAGGACAGATGACAGTAGAAGCTTCAATGGAGGACAGGCCTCAAGGATTAGGGGATGCCAGGAATCATGAGAATGGCCATGGGCACTTCACCAGGTGTGTGCTGAGCAGAAGTATAATCTGGGCAGCTTGAGGCTTAGGAGGAAGACGGCTTTGGTCTTGTCAAAAAGGAGGGTTTGAGCTACAGCCAGCCAACTATTTAACAAAAAAGGAGAAATTAAAGCTATTCATAGAAAAGGGTACTTTAGAAGTGGTGATTTCAAGGAGCTTCTATTAATTATGCATCTATCCTTTCAAGCTGCTGAAAAAAAGCTACTGTAATTTCAGGTTGCATTGATAGAAGTCTAGTGCCTAATGATAGGAAGTAAAGTAACACTCATTGTTTTTCACTAGACAATATCTAGAATGTTATGTTCAGTTCTCAGCTCCCTACCAGCTAACTAGAGATTATCCACAAAGGATGCTGATAGGCCCAGCTGGGGCAGGACTAGAAAATATTTTACCTGAAAAAGAACAGATTAATAAATATTAGAAAGTTCTCTTGTAGAAGCACAGACTCAGTCTATGCTGCTCCAAAAACAAGGCCAGAATCGATACTGAACGTCAAAGGAGGGCAGCCTTCATATGGGAGCTGTCAATCTAGAGTTTTTAACTCTAAAAGACGAACTTGTGAAGCAGCGTGACCCCTTCCTTAGAGACATTCATTCTCCAAACTATTACAGTTTGTACCTCTCAAAACTACCCGTGTATCATCCTGGGATTCCCACCAACCTACATAATTCTTACTTACCCATCAATACTCAATTTAAACACTGCTTCTTTCAACAAGACTTCCTGTACTCCCAGATAAGCTAGCTCTGGATATTAAACACTCCCAAGCATTCTGTCGTTTGTTCAACATGTACTCTGACATATTTATGTCCCATGCGGACAGGGGCTGTGTATTACCAGTGTCCAACACACAAACTGGCATATTGGTATGTGGTGAATGAATGATGGTCATGAATCAGGAATGTTACAGACAGAAACCCTACAATGGACAGAAAGAAGTCTGGACCACATTAATTCTCAGACGTTTTCTAACTCTCCATTTGTATGACTTTGAAGAAACCTAAGATTTATTCTAGCATTTCCAGTAGTTAGAATCTGTGTCAAGTTTGTGGTAATCCAGAGCCTCCATTCTTTTTTCACTGATAATACTCTATACTTGTAAAATTGATTTAACACACGTAAGCCTCCACATTTAAAAAGAATTCATTTTAGGGGCACTTGGGTGGCTCAGTCGGTTGAATGTATAATTCTTGGTTTTAGCTCAGGTCGTGATCTCACAGTTCATGGGTTTGAACCCTGTGTTGGGGTCTCTACTGTCAGCACAGAGCTACTTTGGATCCTCTGTCCCCCTCTCTCTCTGGCCCTCTCCCACTTACACTCTCTATCTTTCTCTCTCAAAAATAAAAAACATAGGGGTGCCTAGATGGCTCAGTCCGTTAAGCCTCTGACTTCGGCTCAGGTTATGATCTCACGGTTCGTGGGTTCAAGGCCCGCATAGGGCTCTGATGACTACCAGCTCAGAGCCTGGAGCCTGTTTCAGATTCTGTATCTCACTCTCTCTCTGACCCTCCCCTGCTTACGCTGTCTCCCTCTCTCTCAGAAATAAATAAAACATTTTAAAAAATTTTTTAAAAATTATAAAATAAAAATAATTCATTTTATCTAAATATTTGGGTCTATTCACAAGATGAAGATTTCACAGGCATATTGTTATTTTTTTTCCCCAGGAAGATAGATATACTTTTTCCTACACTTCCTTCTAAGTACAGGTAAAAAACCCTTAGTGCTAAATATAAAACCTATATAAGAAGACACTAGAAGGTAGAAAGAAGAAAGCAGATAAGCTAGAGATCTTGAGGCCTAAGGAATGACACAGTGTTAAGTTTCCTGGATTTTCTTTTGCCTCATATATCTAAGATATGGAACTGAAGAAGTACAACTTAGAAATGTCAATGGGTACAGACAAAAGCCCAACAAAAGCCTGTTCTCTATAGCCAAAGGAGCAGGAAAGGGGCAGCCTCACAAGACAAAAGAGCTTTAGATGATAACCCCTACTCTAGCCAGACACGTCAGAAACAATCTGTCTCTTCACCTCCAGCCAAGTAAGCAAAGACTAGGTAGAGATTTTAGAAAGATAAATTACTGAAAATAACTAAACTAAAACAGCTTAGTAGTTGGGCTCAGCAGCAGAACAGAGGAGACAGTGGACAAACTCAGTGAACTGGAAGGCAAAACAAAAACTACCCAATCTGAACAATAAAGAGAACATAAAGTTAAAAGCAAAACCAAAAAAAAAAAAAAAAAAAAAAACCCAAGGAAAAAACAGAGCTTCAAGGCCCTACAGAACTCCACCTTTCAGGGTGGAGCTGAAAAAGTACTCGAAGAAATAATGGCTGAAAACTTACCAAATTTGGTAAGAGAAGAAGCTGAGAAAGTCCCAAACATTAAAAAAAAACAACAACAAGAAATCATCGCTAATACACATCATACTTAAAGCTTAAAAATTAAAAACAAAGGGAAAATCATGAGAGCAGCCGGAGAAAAAATAACCTCTCCTGTGTGGGAAACATTTTCAAATGATAGCAGATTTCTCGTCAGAATCCATGGAGGCCAGAGGAAAGAAGTACATGATTTTTCAAGTGCTGAAAAAAAAAGAAATATCAACCCAGAATCCTATAACAAGAAAAAATATTCTTCAGGAACAAAGGGGAAATCGAGACATTCTCAGTCAAGGAACACTAGGAGAATCTGTTGCTAGTAGACCTATGCCAAGAGAATGGCTAAAGGAAGTTCTTTAAATAGAAAGGAAATGATGAAGAGAGCTATGGAATACAGCAAAGGGTGAAAGAATAGAGTAAGCAAAAATATGGATGAATATACCAGGCTTTCTTTCCTTCTTTCTTGAGTTTTCTAAATTATGCTTGACAGTTAAGCAAAGATTAAACACTGTCTCATGTGGTTCTAAATGTATATAGAGAAAATTTTAGGACAGTCATAAATGGGGAAAGATAAAGAAATGCAAAGGGAGGAAAATTTTCTACAATTCCACTCAAACTGTTAAAATGATGATACCAGACGACTGTGATAACTTAAATAGTGTTATAAGATAACTTAAATAGTGTATATAGAGCACTCACTAATGTAGCTATTCAGAGAGATTTATTCAAAAACACTATGGACAGATCAAATGGAATTCAAAAAGTGTTTGACTAACCCACAGACGGCAAGAAACAGAAAACGGAGAACTGGAAAACAGAACAAACAGAAAATGAAAAATAAATGGCAGACTTGTGCCCCAATATATTAATAATTACATTACATGTCAATGGTCTAAAGATACCAATTAAAGGAGAGAATTTGGCATAATAGATTGAAAACATGACCCATGTCTACAAAACAGTCACTTCAAACACAATGGTATAAGTAGACTGAAAGCTAGAAAAGGATATATCATGCAAACATTAATCAAAGGAAAGCAAAAATGGCTAAGTTAATATCAAATAGACATCAGAACAAAAATGATTACAGAGACAGAGGGGGACATTATATAAAAATAAAACTATATAAAGAAGATATAGCAATCATAAATATATATGCACCAAATAACAGAATTGCAACATATATAAAGCAAATAAAATAGAAATGAAACAGGTCCACAATTATAGTTGGAGACTTTAATACCCCTCTCTCAGCAACTGATAGAACAACCAAACAAAAGATCAGCAAGGATATAAAAGAATTAAACACCACCATTGACCAACAAGATCTAATAAATATTTACAGAGCAGTCCATCCAACAATAGCAGAATACACATTCTTTTCAAGTGCCTACAGAAGACCAAGATAGACCATATCCCGGACCATGAAAAAAACCTCAACAAATTTAAAAGAAATCAAAATCATACAGTGTTTTCTCTGGTCACAACAGACTCAAACCAGAAATTAATAACAAGAAGATAACCAAAAATTCCCTAACACTTGGAAACTAAACAACACACTTCTAAATAATCCATAGTTCAAATAGAAAGGCTCAAGAGAATTTTTAAAAAAACGATGAATGAATAAAATGAAGTATTAATGAAATTGAAAATACAACATATCAAAATGAGTGGGACATAGCTAAGCAGTGCTGAAAGAGGAACTGATAGCACCAAGCACACACATCAGAAATGCAGAAAGTCTCAAGTCAGTAATCTAAGTTCCCACAAAAAGAACCTAGAATAAGAGCAAAAGAAACACAAAGAAAGTAGAAGGAAGGAAATAATAAACAGCTTAAGTGAAATGGCCAAACTAGGAAAGAACAGAGAGCCTCTTCAGGGAAAATGAATAACCCAAGGAAGGAAAAACAAAAGAGAATGGCCATGAGATTCATTTTGAGTCTACTCAGGATGGACAAGAAGACCAAGTAAACCAGGTGGGGTCCTCTCCAGAGGGATAACACATAAGGCTGAGGAGTGAACTGGAAAGCTCACTCCAGTACCATGCTGTGAAAGTCACACTGCTGAATTCTTAAGTCCAACTATGAATCTAATTATCCTGTCACATTCTGGGCTACAATATAGAGTTAAAAAGCAACAGTCTTTTGAAAGTCAAAATGTGTTTGAAGCATTAGCAATGAAATTTCCTACCATAATTTGAGGGAATGGAACAAAAGACCAATGGGCTTCCTTCTCAGAAAGGAAGCCACAAACACCAGCTAAATTCACCTAATTGTATACATGATTTGAACTTTGGTTGTTTCAGATAACTCCGGATCTTTCCCTGAATCCACTGACAACACTGGATACTGGTTTTCTCAAAACAGCTTTCTTACCTCATAGAAGAAGGGATGGCCAGCCATATCAAAGATGTTAACTTTGATTTCTCGGTCTCTGACTTGTACCCTGAAATGTTCAAATGGAAACAGTTCCAAAGAAGGTTATGGTTTCTGCATTCCAATTAATATCATTTATATGATTTATGAATTTCAAAAAGGTATATGTATGAAATGTAAACGAGCCTTTCTTAGTGCTTCTTCTTGATTTCAGATCATCTTTATAACAGAAGCCAGCAACTTGGTAGATCATCCTTTAAGAACACTGAACCCACCCGTACTAAGCACCGTCATTTGCTTTCAGCTTATCTCAGGCCATACCCTTTAACTAACAAATGGTGGCTTTTATTGTGGTGCTAAGAAAACTGATTTGGGACAAGTAGGAGTGAGAGGAAGGAAAACAAAATATTTTACTTCACTAGGTAAGACATCTTCATGACTACCGGCTAAGCTTGCTTGCTTACCATGCAGAAGAATAACTAAGGTGTATTTTATTAACCTCTGTGTGATCTTCTTGTGATCTTCATTGAGCAAGAGCAATAGTCAACTTGTTTTCAAGAATTTTAAGGGAGACTGTGTGGCTCGGTGGTCAAGCATCTGACTTAGGTTCAGGTGATGATCTCACGGTTTGTGAGTTCGAGCCCCACATCAGGTGAGCTTGAGCCCTGCTTCCCCTCTCTCTCTCTCTCTCTCTGCTCCTCATTGGATTCTCTCTCTCCCTCTCTTTCTGCCCCTCACTCACTTGCGCCCTCTCTCTCTAAAAAAAGAAAAAAAGAGAGAAAAGAACAAAAGGGGAAAGAACAACCATTTATTAGAATTAAATGTCAACATCATAGCATATTTGCCTCTTGTTCTTTTTACCTTTTCAAGAAAAACCACCACTGGAAAACAAATTAATGAAACACTCTAAGTATTTCAAACACAACAGAAATACAAAGATGAAAGTTCAAAATTTATCCCAAATCCTATCATCTAGCAAAAGCCTTCATCAACATAGATGAGTGCCAAGGCAGCCTTCTATGCACAGATGTGACTGAGAAGCAAAGTGTTTTTATCAAAATGGGATTATACTATTTTAAAGTAAAAGTATAAAATTTACTTTTTATTGAATTTAAAATTTTTTAATGTTTATTTATTACTTTTTATTGAATGTAACAAAAGGAAAAAGAAACTGAGGTGAACTAGAATTATTGAACTTTAAATATCTTTCTTCATCATAAGAAATATCTCCTAAAAGACCCCTGTAAGTTAAGAATAGGGATTGTTAACAATAAGTTAACAGGTTAGAATCCTTGTTTTTCAGTGATATGTTTCAGTTTAGACAGCACTGGCATGACTCCCTCCTCCAGAACACAGGGACATCAGTACTTGCTCTCATTGACCCTATGCTACCTCTGGGTTTATTACTATTCTCTTGTCGGCATTTATAACATCCACTTTCTGTTCTGAAACCATAATGCCTTACAGGTGTTTTACATTACTTGTAGACTTAAATCTAGCTGACCACTAATCATTCTATTCCTGAATTCTCCACATATTTCATCAATAACCAAGATGCACATCTGTTTTCATTTTAACATCAGGACCCACCTTTTAAAAGAGAATGTGAGAAGAACAAAACAAAACAAAACAACAGCAGAATCTGAGAGCCTCTGGAGAAGCCCCGGTATAACAATGTGTGTTAGAAAATCTGGCCTTAAACAGATAGCAGCCGAGAAGGGATAAAGTCAGGAATGAACACAAATGTATTCACACATTGAAACTCAAAGAGGGTAATTTAATTCAGATGCCAGACAGAGGAAATTACCTGAAGAAAATTGAAAACTCACTACCTCAAAGTCATGCTTTCCTAGGTTGTGGCCTGCAGACCACCTGTATCATTATTATGAGAGGCTGTTAAATTCCTGTGCCCACCTCAGACCCAGCAAATTAGAATCTTAGTGGGTGGGTCTTAGGAATCTGCATTTTTGCAAACTTTATGAGTAATTCTTCACTATGTTACCATGTATGTTACCATGTATATTACCATGTATGCTACCATATAGGTAACAGGAAGGACAGAATGGGCACCTATTATTTTGACTACCCAAGGGTACAGCCCTTTCCTCTCCCAGTTGTGGTTCAGGTGAGTTCCGCTATGTTCTTAGTGATCCCAATCTGCTGGCCACAGCCAGCTGAGCTGGGGAAAGGCACCTGTTCCCACCTGAACAACCAAAACTTTCCCTGGGATTTTTAAACTTGAATATTAGCTTTGGTTCCTCTCTGGAAGTAAAATTTACAATGTGAGTCTGAGATCTGCTGGCAGCCATGGAGAGGAAGCTAAAAGGTGGAGAGACGGGTGCCTGGGTGGCTCAGTTAGCTGGGCATCTGACTGCGGCTCAGGTCATGATCTCACCATTCGTGAGTTCAAACCCTGTGTCAGGCTCTGTGCTGACAGTTCCAAGCCTGGATCCTGCTTTAGATTCTGTGTCCCTCTCTCTCTCTGCCCCTTCCCCATTAATACTCTGTCTCTCTCCGCCTCTCAAAAATGAATAAACATTAAAAAATTATTTTAAATAAAAAAATAAAAGGTGGAGAGTGATGTAGTAAATGATACAGCTATATTCTGTCCCTGGCTTCAGCCATCTCTAAAGCCCAGCATCCTCATAACTGGATTATGTGAACTGATTAATATCCTTTATTATTGTTATTGTTATTGTTATTATCATTATTATTTTTTGCTTGACTTGGTTTGAGTTAGGTTTCTGCCAGTTATAGCCTCCTGATTCACCATGGGACAACCAGCTTTCCAAAAAAAATTTTCAGCCAGAGGTAGAACAGTCTGTCGAATAAAGCACTACAGTTCTAAGGCATAAGATGGTGATTCTCATTTCTTAGATGAATAAATTAGCTACTTATATGAATTGAAAACAAAACTGCCTTAAATAGGATATCCTGCCATATCACTGATGAAATCCTATGCCCTGAAGTATAGATACACCTTACTACTTTAGTCCACCTTCTTAAAAGCTTTCCTCACAGCCTAATCTCGCAAACTTCCTCTTCAGATATATCTATCTCACCTAATAGAGTTATTGAGTATCTACTACATATGAGAACTGTGCCAGGCACCTGGAAATGATTTATTCTAATAGCCCCTTCTTCATGGAGCTTATAATCTAGCAGGAGATATGAAACATATATAAATCATAATGACATGTGGGAATTTATAGTAAGTACCATAAATAGCATACAGAAGTTTAATATTTCTGTATTTAATATTTCTTTGCAACCAAAGAGTCCCGACTGATAAAGAAGGTATCCCAAGGCCTTATGGGAACAGGAGCATTTTACACATCAAAGAGTCTGACGGAGAGATGAGGGGACAGGATATTTCAGGTGGAATGAATGAATAACCTCACTGAGCTAGGAGAATATGAGGGCCGTGGTGCAGTGTGGATGGAGGGTAAAGTGTGTAAAGGAATGGAATAGGAGAGGAGTGGGGCAGGTTAGGGAAGAATAGTGAGCACCTGAAACTACACCTTCAGGGAGTGTGCAGTATACCTTAATTCTTTTTTTTTTCCTTAAATAGTTTATTGTCAGGTTGGTTTCCATATAACACCCAGCACTCATCCCAACAAGTACCCTCCCCCATGCCCATCACCGTCCCTTCCCCTCCCCCGCACCCCATCAGCCCTCAGTTTGTTCTCAGCATTCAAGAGTCTCTCATGGTTTGCCTCCCTCCCTCTCCCCAACTATTTTCCCCCCTTTTCTCCCACATTGTCCTCCATTAACTTCTTCCTAATCCACCTATATGTGCAAACATATGGTGTTTGTCCTTCTCTGCCTGACTAATTTCGCTCAGCATAACACTCTCTGGTTCCATCCATGTTGCTACACATGGCCAGATTTCATTCTTTCTCATTGCCATGTAGTATTCCATTGTATAAATATACCACATCTTCTTGATCCATTCATCAGTTGATGGACACGTAGGTAGGTTCTTTCCATGTTTTGGCTATTGTTGAGAGTGCTGCTATGAACATTGGGGTACACGTGCCCCTCAGCATCAGCACTCCTGTATGGCTTGGGTAAATTCCTACCAGTGTTACTGCTGGGTCATAGGGGAGTTCTATTGTTAATTTTTTGAGGAACCTCCATACTTTTTTCCAGAGTGGTTGCACCAGCTTACATTCCCACCAACAGTGTAGGAAGGTGCCCATTTCTCCACATCCTCACCGGCATCTAGAGTCTCCTGATTTGTTCCTTTTAGCCACTCTGACCGACATGAGGTGGTATCTCAGTGTGGTTTTGATTTGTATTTCCCTGATGATGAGGGACGCTGAGCATCATTTCATATGCCTGTTGGCCATCTGGATATCCTCTTTGAAGAAGTGTCTGTTCATGTCTTCTGCCCAGTTCTTCATTGGATTATTTGATTTTCAGGTGTGGAGTTTGATGAGTTCCTTATAGATTTTGGATACTAGCCCTTTATCTGATATGTCATTTGCAACTATCTTTTCCCATTCCGTCAGTTGCTTATTAGTTTTATAGATTGCTTCCTTTGCCATGCAGAAGCTTTTAATCTTGATGAGGTCCCAGTAGTTCATTTTTGCTCTTGATTCCATTGCCTTTGGGGATGTGTCAAGTAAGAAATTGCTGTGGTAGAGGTCAAGGAGGTTGTTTCCTGCTTTCTCCTCTAGGGTTTTGATGGTTTCCTGTCTCACTTTCAGGTCCTTTATCCATTTTGAGTTTATTTTTGTGTATGGTGTGAGAAAATGATCTAGTTTCTTTCTTCTGCATGTTGCTGTCCAGTTCTCCCAGCACCATCTGTTAAAGAGGCTGTCTTTTTTCCACTGGATGCTCTTCCCCGCTTTGTCAAAGATTAGTTGGCTGTACATTTTTGGGTCCAATTCTGAGTTCTCTATTCTATTCCATTGGTCTCTGTGTCTGTTTTTGTGCCAATACTATACTGTCTTGATGATTACAGCATTGTAGTAGAGGCTAAAGTCTGGAATGGTGATGCCTCCCGTTTTGGTTTTCTTCTTCAATATTACTTTGGCTATTCAGGGTCTTTTGTGTGGTTCCATACAAATTTTAGGATAGTTTGTTCTAGTTTTGAGAAGAATGCTGGTGCAATTTTGATTGGGATTGCATTAAATATGTAGATTGCTTTGGGTAGTAATGACATTTTAACAATATTTATTCTTCCAACCCATGAGCATGTAATGTTTTTCTATTTCTTTGTGTCTTCTTCAATTTCCTTCATAAGTTTTTGGTCTACCTTAATTCTATGGGTCAGGGTATTATTTTCTGCTAATGTAAGCCTATCTCCCCAAGCTTAACCCACCCTTGGTTCATCTCCAGATAAATCCCCACTTATTCCTAATTTTACTTCTCCCAGATCATTTTTGCTTGACACCAATAGGTTATAAAGATAATAAACTAATAAAGGAAATCCTCTGATAGAAAATACTCAACATAATACTTAGACTTTTTGGAAAGAATACCTCAAAATGCTCTACAAGCACACCTGCTAATATGATGTGTTTATATAGAAACATGTTTCCTAAAAAGATACATCTGCTAATTAGGCTTTTTGTTGACATCTCATTGTTGTAGACCCTATACCTAAGGCAAGGCCTGGCAAAAAGAATGTGCTCAGTGATGAACAATTGATATGATCACTACGTATCTATCCGTAAAGGTCTCTTATTCCTATCTTTCTTGATTTATCTTCAGAATCTCTATTTCAAGATACATCATTTTAGAAAATTTCTCAAGTCTATGTAATTTACAAGCCCAAAGAAACAGTGCACTTACTTTGTGACTCCATAGTCAATTCCAATTGTTGCAAGATATTTAGACACAAATCTTTTCTCACAGTACCGTTTTATGATACAGCTCTAAAAACATAAAAAATACATTCTTTTAGTAAATACACTTGGGAAACATACAAAATAAGCACAGTTCTTCATTATGGTTTCTTCATTCACCACAATGGGAGAGAAAGCATTTTCAAACAACTAAAATGCTAAAAGTGAGAATTTTAAAGAAAAATTAAATATTCATCCCTTAATACCAAATATGTTTTCAGTTTAGTTCTCAATCCTCAAGCTCTTTTCTTTAGAGGACTTACTCTTCTGCTTTCAATAATGCCACCAAAATGTCTTTGTTTAGCCTTGACCTTCTCAAAAGTAGATCTACATCTTCAAATACTAAGGCTAGTTTGTACGTGGATGTCCTGCTGTTACCTCAAATTCAACATGTCCAAAAATGAACTGATCTTTTACATAAAAACAGTTCATCCCATGGACATTCTGGTTCTGTCAATAATACCACCACTTTCCCAACCACGGAGGATCAGAATCTTAAAGCCATGTTTGATTCTGAGCCTCTCTAAATCTTTTAAATGTTTCTTGACTCTTTCTCCTCATTCCAATTTCCACTGATACCATTGTGGTTTAGATTCTCATCATCTACTCCTAGACAATCGCTGGAAATTTTTTTATTGGTCTTTCTGCCTTCCTTTCCTCCCAACCTCAGTCAATACTACACACCACTGATATTATTTCACTTCCCTAACACAAAACTCTTCAGTGGCTTCTCACTGCCAAGTTTAAAATCCAAATTCCCTTGTCCTTTATTCAAAGTTCCATAATCTCGTCCTAATCTGTGTTCCTTGTCTAAACCCTTCTAATATAAGCTTTCCATTTCTGCAAAACTCCCAGAGGTCTGACTTCCTGACTTTTCACTACTTTTTCCCTCTACTTGGAATAAGCTTTCTCCCTTCTTTCCAAATCTTACTTATCGTTGAAGGCCCAGTCTTACTGAGCACCAGGTTGTAAGAGATCTTGCCTGCATCTGAACTATTCTAGCACTTTACATACATGCTAATCTATACACACATATTACACACAAACACACACGCGCGTGCGCCAGCAGTCATACATTGCTTATATTGTCAGTTATCATTTCACGCGTGTATATTCCTCTTATCTCTTCAGCTAGAAAGTAAACTACTTGAGGACCCACATCAGTATTTTACTTCTTACTATCTTTTTCTCAGTGCCATTGAAATTTGCTCAGTGCCAGTAATAACAACTCTTAGCACTCATGAAACTTCTAATTTACTTGGGAGTGCTAGTAAGGAAGTTTATTCTGCGCAAATCCTTCCCTGATGAACATTAACCTAAATAAAATAGGACCGTTAATTTAAAAAGCAGTTAATAAGCTTATTGTAAACTGAAAGAAAAACTTCTTTGGAGTGACTACTGCTACAAGGCTACACTTTTAAAAGCATTTTATAGCTTGAAAGCACTTCATGAATGTTTTCTCTCACAATAGCCTAGGAAAATGAATATGGCCTTTTTCTAAATGATTCACGAGATTTAGGGGTCTGGATGTCCTTTAACTCCAGTACACTGTTTAAACACTAGTTCTAAGTGGTCAACCAGACACACATTTAAGTAATTGTATTAATAACCACTCCCTATAACACAAAGAGACAGGGTCCTTAGGATCTTACAAGCTAAGTGACATAAATATAGAGAGAATTTTTTGCTTTCACTATTTTTCTTAAATAGATTTTTAGGCACTTTTGCAGAACTATTTGAGAAAACTAATCAAAATATGAAAAAGAGAAATGGGGCAGGGCAGTAGAAAGAGGAGAGAATTTGCCTTAACAGATATCAAAATATAGTCTGAAACCAATCAAGACAGTATGATATTGGCATAAAAGACAAATCGGCAAATAGGTCAGTGGAATAGAACAGGGAGCCCAGAAATAGATCCCATTAAAATAAGAAATTTTAAAAATGACAAGGGTGATATTTAAAGTCATGGGGAAGGGTGCCTGACCAGCTCAGTCAGTAGAGCATCCAATTCTTGATTTCAGCCTAGATCACGGTCCCAGTGTCCTGAGATCGAGCCCCACATCCAGCCCCATGCTGAGTGTGGAACCTGGTTGGGATTCTCTCACTCTCTCTCTTTCTTTCTCTCTCCCCCTCTCTGCCCCTCTCCCCTACTTGTTCGTGCAGTCTCTCTGTCTCTCTCAAAAAAAAAAAAAAAAATAGAAAAAATAAAGTCAAGGGGAGAAGAATGATTTATTTAGTAAAATGTCACTTGCACAAGTTGGGCCCTTAACTTCTCTAAATCCAAAAATAAATTCAGATGAACTTGTGATTTCAATATTTAAAAATAAAACAACAAAAATTTCAGAAAAAAATGTGCAACATACATACAACCTTAAGGAAACCTTTTCAACCAGGAAAGGAAACACAAGAACCACAAAAGAAAGGACAGGCTTAACTGACTATAGAGAAATTAATAATAATAATAATAATTGCAATTGTATGGCAAAATATCTATAAAAATATTAAAAGACAAATAACATACCCAGGCAAATATTCATTATTCACATGACCAGCAAAAAGTTATTATCTCTGATATCCCTGAACCAGAAAAACTGATAAGACACCTCACCCAATAGACAAATGGGTAGGGAGTATAAATTCGGCAATATCTAGAAGAGCAAATCCAAATATCCACTAAGTATATGAAAAGATGCTCAACTTCATCTGTAGTCCATGAAATGCAAATTAAAGTAACGCTTGTCACTAACCAGACTGAGAATCATTAAAAGAATGACAATATCTGTGTTGGCAGGGCTATGCGAAATAGGACACCTGCATACAAATACAATTTCTTGCAGAGCAACTGGCAATAGCTACTAAATAGCTATTCAGCATTCTACCCCTAGGAATCTGTCTATAGATATTAGAGGGCCAGTATTTAAGTGTGTGTGTGTGTGTGCGCGCGCGCATGCTCGCGCTGTCACCACACACCCCAACCTAGGGCTCAATCTCACAAACCGTGAGATTATGGCTTGAGCCAAAATCAAGAGTTGGACACTTAATTGACTGAGCCACCCTTATATTTTGAAGGGGGAAAAAACCCTATTGGCATTTTAACTAGAACTGAATTACACTTACAGATTATTTTAAAGAAATGGTATCTCTAAAATGTCGAGTGATCCTAATTAAGGGGAAAGTATGTCTTTCTATTTGCCTAAGTAATTTTATGTCCCTTTGTAGAGTTTGAAATTTTTCTTCATATAGGTCCTAACTATTTGTTCTTAAGTTTAAACCTGGGCACTTTATTTTGACTGTTATTGTAAATTAAAATAGTTTTTCAATTAAACTTTAAAACATGTAATTGGATATAGTAAAGCTATTAATTTTTGTATATTAATTTTGCCTTATTGAATTTTCTTATTATTTCTAAAAGCTTTTCAAGTTAATTCTCTTTGGGTTTCCAGATAAACAATCATATCATTAGCAAATAATAATTTTGCCTTTTGCTTTCCAGTATTTCATACTTTATTTCTTTCTCTTGTCTAATCACATTGGCTAATAAATCTAGAGCAATGTTAAATAAATGTGACATTGGGCATTTTGGGCTATTTTTAATGTTGGACCATTAAGCATAGGAAAATTACAGAAATGATGCATGCTTACTTAACCTAGTTACTATTAAGCCTTTTAGAGGCTATATTCTTTTCTTTTTAATGCCCGGCACATAGCTGATGTTCAACAAATGTTGACTTTTCAGTGACTGCTATGTTAATACATACATATATGCAAATACATAAATAGTACAGGATAATGCTAAATGGAAAGAAAAGACAGTAATAAACATTTACTACACATCAACTATGAGTAGGGCACTGGCCTAAACAATTCCATTAACAGCTCTTTTGGGATATAGATCTTATTAGAGTTGATTTTGACAGCATACAATAACAGAAAGAGAACTGCAGTAGGCTGTGAAGACCCAAGTTCTAATCCTGCCTCTGTCATTGATTTGATGACCTTGGAAGGTTCTTAACCAACAGCTTCCACTTCCTCAGAAGGGGAGATGAGACAATTGGGGTGAAGAAGCAGTTTAGAATTCACTTGGGGGAGGGCCTCTGGTCTCTTCCTCATCCTCCCTCCACCCCCCTCCACACACACACTGGGGGAGCTTAATACCCAGTAGATCCAGAAGAAAAGCGGTGGAACTAAGGCTTTTGAGAGAATGAATATAATGACACTACTAGAAATAAAAACAAAAACCGATGCACAAAACAAAATAATGCAGGCTCCTTGACATACATTGCACTTCCCCTGTGAAAAATGTCAGTATCAGTTACGCTCTTGAAATTGAAATGTAGATTCTGGGCTCCCTATCTGCAGAGCAACATTTTACAAACTCCAATTCTCACATGCACCCCAGGAAGTTCCCTTCGGCTCCCAAGCACTGCTGGGGTAACTAAACTTTCATTCTCCACCTCTAAGTCCTGGACAGGTCACCTAGAACGAAGATAGGGTAGTGAAGCAGACGATCTGACAAGGACCTAGGCCTCTTTAATATTTTTGGGACGCATTCAAGGGTTAGCGGCCACAGGAAACACCTTCTTATGGAGAGTGACGTCGGTGGAGGAAGAGGGGGGCAAACGAAAGGTCAAAAAGGTCAGGAGAGTTTTCCTCACCCAGGCGCATCCCCTAGGAGGAGACCTGGGCCTGCTCAGGGGCGGAGAGGAGGCTGGGCCCCGGGCTGTTGAGTGGCCGTCCTCCCAGCCAATCGGCACGTCGTCCCGCCGCGCTGAGGTCCCGCCCCTCCCAGCGCGGTACTCACTTTTCCCACTTCAGCGTTGCCCATGGAGATGACTTTGATGCGCAGGGACTTGCCGGGCTCCTTCCGCTTCGGCATGTTAGCCTCCATTGCCCTCGCTCTCTCGGGGCCACCCGCCTCGGTATCTCCTTGTTCACCAGGCTGGCCCGTCCCTCAGGCCTCCTCGACCAATGGCGGAACCGCTGCTATCGTCACCGCCCCGGCTCCGCGGCTAGCCATCCCCGCCGCTGCCTAGCAGCGGGCGCGGGCGGTTGGGAGCTCTGGGAACTGGGGGTGGGAGAAGAGAGTCTCGCGATGCTAGAAAGGGGCGGCGTGACGTCATCGCCGGGCTCTGGAGACAAGGTTTTGATTACCTGCTCCCAGGAGTCGTGCCCGCCCGCGGTGCTGAGTCCCTCGGCAGGAACTCGGCCTTGAGGGTTGGCTGGATTTACCCTGAGAGTGCGGTTGGTGTTCAGGGGCACCAGGACAGCGGCATCTGTTAACGTTTGCAGCCGAGTGGTAGAAATATATTGGCAGTGTGGGGCAGATCCTCGGGCTTGGAGTATCTGGAATGGTGGGTCCAGGCCCAGTCGCGCTAAAAATTCGAAGTAGACCATAGGGGTGTCATTTTCTGAACTCTTCCGTCCCTGTAAGCCCGTCTACGCTACTCGTCCCCCCGCCCCCCATACTAAGTTTCTCTTGCTCGGGCTCGTCGAGAGACAAGTCAGGAGCCGGGGAAGTGGGGAAGTCGGTCGGGGCTCTAGTTTTGGAAGAGGGGAATTAGGCAGGATCTGAATCCTGTTCCTATCGTAAAAAAAAAAAAAAAAAAAAGGTAGTCTGGGTTTTAGTTTAGTCATTGCTCTTTTATTACAGAGTTCTCTGGCAGAAGAAAGCCCAGACTAGCTGTTTCTGACACTCTTGCAGTTCTAGGACAGTGTGTGTGATTGTAGCTGTATGCTCTTCAAACTTAACCCCATCATCTGTGCACACCTTCCCTGATACTATGACAGAATAATAATAAATCCTAAAATAGCCACTTTTCCAGTCTCATTCCAGAGGATGAGAAAAGCATCTGGATAAAAAAAAATCAGTCTGAGAGGAACAATTTTTTTTGAGTATTACCTTGGGTTACAGAAGGTAAATAGAACTTGACAAATGATTATTTAGTGCACTGAAAAAGAATGGTGCCAATTTCTAAGTAAATGACAGGGCAAAAGTAGCATTATTTCTGTTCTCAGGTAGCTTTAAGTATCTTAAAAGAAACACATTGTAGGAAGACAGTGAATAAAGCCTCAACATTTCTTAGCCATCAAAAGTCAGATTTTCAAACATTTTATTTTATAATTTTTTAATGTTTATTCATTTTTGAAGGAGAGGGAGGTAGAGCATGAGCGGGTGAAGAACAGAAAGAGACACAGAATCTGGAGCAGGCTCCAGACTCTGAGCTGTCAGCACAGAGCCCATCCTGGGGCTCGAACTTACGAGCTGTGAGATCATGACCTGAGCCAAAGTCCCACGCCTAAGCCCAACTGACTGAGTCACCCAGGTGGCCCAAAACAAATTATTTTTAAGAAGGAAGCCTATTCTATGTTGTGTTTATAATCAACCAGAAAACTTAGTTTAATGAAACTTCTGAGATTTTTTACAACCATGAAATATAAGTCCTGGTTAGAATGTTGATAGTTTAAAGTTCAAAATAATTGGATTTACACTGATTCTTCACAAATCTAGAGGGTGATCTCTCAGCATTATTTAATAAATGAAATCAGTACACATCTCTTTGTTTGCTAGTTCACTTTTGGCCCTGTGATAGAACTGGTGTTGTGAAAGAATAATCGCAAAATGTCAAATTTTCAATTATTAAAAGACTGATTAGGTATGATACTATTGAGCCCATGGGCAGTAAAACATGCCAAAGATTAAAATTTATTACCATGTTTTTCATATTGATGTGTCTGAGGTTAGAATACATATAAACATATTTTCTAGGTATGTTAAATTAGTTTGGAATCAAAAAAGCAAGAAAGTTAGCTCTCTTTTCCAGTCTTTAATACAAAAAGAAGAAAGAAATGTGATTAGCTATGTGTAGTGTGAACCTGGAAAGTGGCGGTGAGAAACATGAGCTCTGCAGTTGGCCCTCTGTAAAGCTTATTTATTTTGAGAGAAACAGAGCATAAGTGGGGGAAGGGCAGAGAGAGAGGGAGAGAGAGCATTTCAAGCAGGCTCCGTGCTGCCAGGAGCACAGAACTCAAATCTCACGAACCCATGAGATCATGACCTGAGCCAAAATCAAGAGTCTGACATTTAATGCACTGAGCCACCCAGGCGCCCCCGTGTTTTTTTATTTTTATGTATTAAAGACTTCATATATTTTAAATGTGTATATTTAAAGTAAATTATGAAATACGTTGGATGTCAAAGTATGAAGAATAATATAATGAATACCAGCACGTAGCTTAACAAAATATCACTGACACTGTATATGTTCATGCCCATTACATCCATCCTCCCTCTTTATAAAAGCTTGTGACTGAATTGGTGCTTTTAATTTCCAGGCACTTAAAATTGTTTCACTACACATGTATACACACCTTAAAATATAGTATTTGTTGCATTTTTAAAAATCTTTTATTTTGAAGTAATTTCAGAAAAGTTCTAAGAATAGTAAAAAAATCTTGTATACCCTTTATCTAGATTCATCAATTGTTACCATTTATTACTGTGCTCACTATCTGTATATTCATGTGTCTACACATGTTTTTTCTGAATAATTTTAGATTAATTTTAAGGCATGTTTCTTTATCCACAAATAATACTTCAGTGTGTATTTCCTAAGAGCAAGGATTTTCTCTTATGTAGTTATAGTGTATTTATCAAAATCAGAAAATACAACATTGTAACAGTAACACTATTATCTAATCCTATGGTTCTTGAACTGTGCTCTGGGGTGCCGCACAGCCTCCCGGTGTTATCCAAGGGGATACCTGTGGGATATTTTACATTCTAAGTTTTCAAGGCAAACAATGAAATATAAGACCATGCAAAACTACTAGCTTGAGGTTGTTTACAATTTCAACAATAGATGGCACCATATTCCTTGGATATGTCATCTATTTGGGAAGCTGGATTTTTCCGCGGTTGTGATAAAAAAGCAAGTACGGCACAAAGGTCAATGTGAAACAGGAAATAAGGGTGCTCCTGTCCAATCTGATTCCAAGTTTTGAGGAGCTGTACAGTGTCCAACAGGTGCACAAATCCCATTAGTAGTTGTGGTTAAGATGAAATAAAACTTTCAATTTATGTGTATTATTTTTTTCAAATGGCAACTAAATTGTTAGGGCATAAATTTTTAGTTAAGTTGTTTGAACCTGGATATTTCTTTTGACCAAAGAACACTATGAAAAAGATTATTATGATACTAAGGGTGACTTGAACCAAGAACATTTGGGAAACTTTGATCAAACCCACAGTTTATATTCCAATTTCACCATTTGTACCAGTAAAATCCATTCTAGCTCTGTTCTGTCACCCAGTCTGGAGTCTAGCCCGGCATCGTTTAGTTGTGATATATCTTTAGTCTTCTCTTATCTAGGGTGGTTCCTCAGCTTTTATCTTCCAAAATGACAGTTACTTTTAGAATATCCTTCAGTTTGTGTTTGTCCAGTATACCCTTAGGATTAGATTTAATAAGGTTTGGCTGACATACTGCAGGAAAGGCATTATGTCCTTTTCAGGATTGGTGATGTCAATTTGTTCCACTTACTAATAATGTTAACTTTAGTTAAAGTGTAGTGTTCACTAGGTTAATCCACAGTAAAGTTACTTGTTTCCCTTTGTAATAAGTAATATGTACGGGGACACTTTGAAATCATATACATATTCTTTCTCCACTGAATTTTCACAGATTTTCAGAATTCAATGAGGATTCATGACTGAAGAGATTACTATGATGATGGATGCAAAACGTGATTTTTTAACTCCGTGATTTTTCCTGCCTTTATTAACTGGTAGTCTACCATAAGGGAAAGCTTTCCTTTCTTGTTCATTCATTTATTAATTTATATCAGGATGCACTCACATATTCTTATTTTACTCAGTGAATATTCTGTTACTACTATTACTTATTTTGATGCTAAAGCTGGCTCTTATGTCTTTTTGATATGTCTCCGCCATTTTGTTTAGAGTACTTTCTTGCTTCCTGGCACAGCAACAAGCCCTGGACCCCTAGGTCCTTTTAGTGGAGAATGGTATTTAGAAACCAAGATCTGGGTGCTAGGTGTGTTCATTGATCTGGGTGCCCTTGCTTTAGGCCCTTTCACTTGACTGAGCCAAAATATGTATACATGTATGAATATATATACATGCATTTAAATCCATATGTTAAAACATAGCTCACACTGATAATCCCCAATCCATGTTAGCACAACAGAATTCATTCTAGTCTTCCCCCTTTCCATATTTATAACTCTCTACTTTGACAGTGAGAAAACTGGCTCTCATTACCTTCAATATACTTACTCTACCCACAGTACACAGGAAGTAACTTCAGAATTGCTTATCCATACCATTTCAAAAAATAGAAACATTTCAAACTAGAATTCCATATTTGTTTATAGCCATTTTTGTCTTAAACTGACAAATGCAGTTATTCATATAGTTCAAAGGGTATAAGTATATGTTCAAAAGTTACTTGGGTTAATCCTTTTTTTCCCCTCTTTGGTTTGGTTATAGTTTTCATTTGAAATGCAGTTAAGTTCATTTGTTTCTGTTTGTACTTTTAGTTTTTTCCCTTTCATTACTACTGACTTTACTAATTTTTTTGAACAGTTAAAACATTAATGTAGTTTCAAAAGTCAAAATGATACAAATTGGTGTACTCAGAAAAGTGCTACCTTTACTCCCATCCCAATCCTCTTTCTTCTTCCCACCTGCCTTCTGGGGGCCACCAATCACCCTAGAATCTGGTTTATTCTTTCTTATGTTTCTTTTTATAAAAATTAAGCAGTTACATGTACATTTTCTCATTCCTCCTTTGTTACACAGAAGTATGTGTGTTCTTTTGAACTTTGCTTTTTTTCACTTAACAATATACCCTAGAAAGTACCCTATAGTAGTTCACAAAGATCATGCTCATTCTTTTTTATAGCTATGGAGAACAGTACTTCATTGTGCAGATATGCTATGTTTTTTTCAATAAATACATTTATGTATTTTCCATATTGTTGGGGGATGTCTGTAGGGTAAATTTCTTTTTTCTTTTCTTTTTTTTTTTTTTTACAAATAGTTTATTGTCAACTTGGTTTCCATATAACACCCAGTGCTCATCCCCACAAATGCCCCCCCTCCGTGCCCCCCTCCCCCCTCCCCCCGCATCCATCAGTCCTCAGTTTTTTCTCAGCATTCAAGATAGGGTAAATTTCTTAAAAAGCAGAATTACTGGGTCAAAGATAAATGCATATTTAGTTTTGTTATATATTACCAAATTCTGTAAGGTAACATTTTTACAAATAGTTTATTGTCAACTTGGTTTCCATATAACACCCAGTGCTCATCCCCACAAATGCCCCCCCTCCGTGCCCCCCTCCCCCCTCCCCCCGCATCCATCAGTCCTCAGTTTTTTCTCAGCATTCAAGATAGGGTAAATTTCTTAAAAAGCAGAATTACTGGGTCAAAGATAAATGCATATTTAGTTTTGTTATATATTACCAAATTCTGTAAGGTAACATTTTGAGAAATTTTGCATCAATATTCTTAATTAAAATTGGAATTAAATAACATTCTTAAATAATATAATAATAAATTAAGTAATTTTCTGCTACCTTAGCTGGTTTAAATATTCATGTCATGCTTGCTTCATAAAAAACATTAGGAAATGTTGTCTCATTTTCCATGCTCTGGTATAATTTATGTGACAGAACGCATACATTTGCAATAGTAGAGAGAATAATGTAATCAATGCTCCATGTACTCATTTCCTAGCTTCAGCTATAGCAACAATATCAGTTGTTTTTAAGATAAGGAGATTATCTTCCATGGGCTAGACCTAATCAGGTGAGTCTTTAAATGGGACTGGCTTCTTCCAGCAAGAGAAATTCAAAAGAGTGAGAGGGATTCAATATATGGGAGGGTCTCCATTGCTGGCTTTGAAGATGGAAGGTGCCACCAGCAACGACCCAAGAGTGGCCTGTCAGAGTTGAGAGTGACCCCTTGCCAATAGCTAGCAAGAACAGGGGCACCTCAATCCTAGGTAACTGAATTCACCCAAAAGCCTGCAGGAGACTGGAAAGAGCTCCTGAGCCCCACATGAGAACAGAGCTCTCTGACATCCTGATGTGAGATTTCTGGCCTAGGGAACGTGGCTACTCCACGCCTGGACTTCCAACCTGCAGAACTGTGAGAGGTTAAATGTCTGTCGTTTAAAGGCGTTACATGTGTGGCAATTTGTTACATGGCAATAGAAACTTATAATGAAAACTTTTTATCTCCAGATTCCATTTCTTGAGTTCTGCTTCCAGTACAGCAGTGCAAGTCCTTACAGAACAATACTCCCACTGATAACTATAAACACTGGGGAAAACACAAAACAAGCATCTGAAGAGTAATAAAAATCAGATAGATGGGGAGGGGGGGTAAAAACCTTGGAGAAATGACTGGCACAGGATGAGTTTCTCCAGAACAATATGAGGACCTGAGCACACAACAACTCTGATTAGCCCTTTCCGTCTTACCCATTAGTATACAGGGTTTTAGTTCCGAGTCTGCACTACACCGTATCAAAGGACATGGATATTAGGATACTATACACACTCATTCTACTACCATCCTGAGGACTGTGTGGCAGTTTGCATTTTCCAAATATGACTGAAACCCTATCTCCCAACCCATAGGATCATTTTTATTTTGGTAAAATTAAAATATACATAAAATTTATCATTTTCACCATTTTGAAGTGTACAGTTTAGTGGCATTGAGTATGTTCACATTGTTGTACCACCATTGGTACCATCTATCTCCAGAACCTTTTCATCCTCCCAGACTGAAACTCGGTACTCATCCTAATTCCCCATCTTCCTCCCCCTAGTTCACGGCAGCCGCCATTCCACTTCTGTCTCTGTGTCTCATGTGAGTGGAATCACACAGCTGTTTGTCCTCTTGTGACTGGCTTGTTTCACTTAGCATGATGACTTCAGGGTTCCCACATGATATTCTTACAATGGAACTGACACTCCACCCCTTGATGGGGGTGGGGAGTCTATATTCCCTCTCCCTTGAACCCGGGCGGTCTTGTGACATTATGACACTTCAAAAACTAATAAAACATGATGCAAATTCTAGTTTTCTTGGAATGCTCACATTTCGAATTGAGACATCAACTGTAAAGAAGCCCCAGCAGTTCATAGAGAGGCCCATACAGAGAGGAGCAGAGGCCCTCCACACCCACCCACAACCACAGCTGAGTTCCCATATGCCAACTAGCACCAACTTGCCAGCCATGGGATTGAGCCATCTTGAAAGTGCCAAGGCAATAAAAGAAGGATGCCAGCAAGAAGTGGAATGTAGCAATTAAGAAATATATAGCATATGATACTCAGTAATGTAGACAGGTAGAAAATTGCCCTTAATCCCATGAAGGAATCTGAGCTCAGAGCAAGGTGCCAATTTGTGGGGAGAAATCCTGGGATACCAGGTGAATTACAGAGAGAGCTCAAATGCCATCTTCCTTCCTTCTTGGAATGCCAAGTTCATTTGAACTCCTTGGCCTTTAAACTTAGGTTCCTTCTTCCTAAAATGTTCTTCCTAAGATCTCCAGGTGCTCTAGCCAGACTAGTTCGTCTGCTCCCCAGGGAGGAGAGACTTTGGCACAAACCAATGTTTCCACCTACATATCTAGTTGCAGTTAATGGCACCTAATTGCCTAATAAGTTTAAGAAAGAAGGGAAGAGAATGATAAGAAATAGGAACAAAGAAGGAAAGAAATCTCTAGTGCTATGCAATAGGACTCTACTTTTTACCTAGCTCTCTTTAGCAGTTCAGGTCAAGAGAGAGAGGTTGACAAAAGTTGTGGATAATCATAAAGAAATAGGAACTCTCGTGATTGTGTTGGAAAGAAAATTTTAAATGACCAATCTGCTACTGATTGGTCACACATATTAGCAGCCTGATGTAATTTTAACATTTTGCAAAGTCCATCAAAATTACTGGCGTCCACATGTCTCTGGGGCTGAATTGCTTTGTCACAGGGTAGATATATATTCAGCTTTGGTAGATGGTACCAAACAGTTTTTCAAAGTAGGCTTAATCAATTTATACTCCTCAACAGTGAATGAGAGTTGCAATTCTTCCAAATTCTCATTGGCCTTTAATTTGGTCAGTTTGCCAAGTTCAGCCCCCTCTTATAGGTTTATAATAGTATCTAATTATAGTTTTAATTTGTGTGTCCCTGATGACTAATGAGGTTGGGTGCCTTTTCAGATGTTTACAGACCATTTCCTCTTATGTGCAGTGTCTGTTCAGTCATCTTGTCCAATGTTTTATTGAGTTGTTTATTTTTTCTTGTTGATTTGTAACTCTTTATATATCCTAGATATAATATCCTTTACCAGATATATACATCTTGCACAAGAATATTTGTAGCAGTACTGTAAGTAGTAGTTCAAAACTGGAAGCAACCCATTAGTCCAGCCATGGCATAATGGATACATAAATTGTGGTATATTCTTATAATGGAATACTATACTATCACTATACAAAACTATACCACAAGGAATACTATACTATTGCAATACAATACTATGCTACTGGGAAACCTATACTATTGCTATACAATACTGTACTTCTGGAATGAATCTCATAAATATAATGTTAATTTAAAGAAGCTAAACACAGGGGTGCCTGGGCAGCTCGGTTAAACATCTGACTTCAGCTCAAGTCATGATCTCACGGTTCGTGGGTTCGAGCCCCAGGTTCAGCTGTGCTGACAGCTCAGAGCCTGGAGCCTGCTTCAGATTCTGTGTCTCCCTCTCCCTCTGCCCCTCCACTGCTTGCACTCTGTGTGTGTCTCTCTCTCTCTCAAAAATAAATAAATATTTTTAAAAAATCTTTCAAAGAAGCTAAACTCAAAAAAAGTATTACTAGATGATCCAGTTACATAAAGTTCAAGAACAGATAAGACTAATCAGTGGTATTAGATTCTGGTTATCTTTGGGCATAGTGAATGAAAAGGAGCGTAAAGAGGGTTTCTGGATGCTGGTCACACTTCCTATCTTGATCTGGGTGGTGGTCACATAGGTGTGTGCATGTTGTGAAAATCCCCTGGGCTACACACTAGGCACTGTAGTATGTTACACTTCAATACAAAAAAAGTTTACAAGAACAATTCTTTCCTCATTTTCGGAAGGGCCTAAGAGCTAAAAAAGCATATCTAACCTGATGTTTTTCTCTGTTCAGAGTTTCTCATGGTGTTGCTGTGATAGATCTTGGTGTCCATGGAAACCAGACAGAGTATGCTGCAGGGAAGCAAGCAAGAAGGGACTGGAGCCTGGGGAAGAGGCACATACGACAAAGGAAGAGACGCTCTTGGCCCCTCCCCTCCAACATACTTTCAGATTCCACTCAAGCAACGGCCAATTCCCTGCTTATGCAACTATCTGTCTATGACAACTGTGACAAAGATTGCTTGTCATAACTTCCTGGGAATCCACCCCAGAACTCTCCAGCTCACCCTCTCCATGACCGGTTTCCATTTTACTTACCCCAACAGGAGCCTTGGCCTGGAAGGGGCTTGATATAGAATAAGCCTTCTCTGGATGAGGCCCGCTAACACCTCCCTACCTAGAGCTCCCTTACAGGGTGACCTCAGCTCCGAAGTGGAACAGAGTGTTACAGAGTTGTGCATTCACGCATAGGAACTGTACTTAGAGTTCTTCAGGTCTTTGCTCAGAGTTTATCAATTCTTATTATTTTTTTTTTTTTTTTACAAATAGTTTATTGTCAAATTAGTTTCTTTATCAATTCTTATTTTAAACATAGTTCTATCACTTCATTACCTAGGTCTATAAAAAGACAAATTAAAAGTGGGTGGGTGAAATTTTCCCCTATGGGTGCACGTGTGTCTGGCTTTGTTAAGTTGGCGAATGATTCTGGATATATCTGGATATGCGTAAGTGTATCTGTGGAAGTCTGTGTGTATACCAAAGCATTGGTTATGATGAATGTGTGTGAGAGCATGTGTAGATTTACACCGCGTACATCTGTCAGTTTTGTGTGTATGTAGCGGGTGTGTGGTATGTGAGGACATTTGTGAATGAGCTTGTCATTTCGTGTTTTTATATACGTACATGTGATCAGATGTAAAATATGTAAATGAGAATTTACACTTACAGAAATCTGTAGGATGGATAAGAGAGAATTTGTGGGGCTGCTTTACAAGTTTGTGTCTTTGAGCTAAACTGTAAGTGTATATGATGGATTCATGTAGGGATAGCTCTGGGCAAAGTTTTCAAGTCATATGGTTAGACCATAAGGAATTGCCATTTTTCTGGGTTAAAAATGGTTAAATATTCAGTGATTTTTGTGTGATTCAACCTGATGTATGTATGCATTACATACACACATACATACGTACATACATATATAAATTCAAGCTAGCATAGCCGCTTTACCACCTTTGTGTTACTATCAGAGCTAAGAAGAAGATGACACCCATGGGTGTGAGACCTGGGGAAAAAATTAACATGCATCTTGGAGGAAAGAGAATATATAGAAGTGATGATGAATGCACAGAAAGTTGCAATAGGGGTATATCAAGAAATGAGATTAAAAGTTCTTTACTCTGGGAAGCCTTTCCCAACACTTGTTTTTTTTTACCTACCCTCCCCAATTTCTCTGCCATGGGCTTCTGCACCAGCTGTGAACTTCCTGTACGATAACGCTCATCACGCTGTTATCTGAAGTGGCTGTTCTCCCTTCTAGACAGGAAGTTTGCTGAGGGCAAGGACTGGGTCTCTGTTGTTTGCTTATTTCCTAACACTTAGCACAAAGCTTGGTACAGAATAGAAACTCAATTAGTATTTGTTGAAGAATTGGTTGACCAAAAGAGATAGGTATTCTGAAAAAGCTGTGTGTGTGTGACTTCTGTGGGGGCCAAGGTGCTTGGCTTTTGTTCTGTGCAATGGATAGACATTTTGGAAAGGGGATTAACATGCACAGAAGACCATTTCAGAAATATTAATTTAGGAGTTGTGTAAAGCATAGACAGAAGTAGGGATGGTTGGCAATTAGAAGCCAAGTAGTCACCCAGGCATGCAGTAATAGGAAACCTAGACTCTAGTCACAATGGAATGGACAGCAAGGGTCAAATGAAAGAAGGGCAGTAGAAGAAGATGCAGTGACTGCTAGGCATAGAGGAAACAGAGAGCGGGAAAGGGTGACCCCATGTTGTAGAGCTGGAGTACTGAGATAATGATGATCATACTGCTAGAAAAAGAAGGTAAGCAGTGTAGACATTAGGGAGCTCTGTTTTGAACATGTTGCAGATTTGGGATGTGTTGGGCATGAATTGAGGGTAACAAACAAAAGAACATCCTAATAAAGATGACCAACAGACAGTTGGATATGTGACAAGAGCCCAGACAGGAGGCCTAGTGTTTAGATATTCAGTCATTTCTGCAACAACTACTCAATCAGTTCTTGTCAGGTGACAGGCAATGGTCCAGGCCCTGGCCATTCAGCAGTGAATGAAACCAAGTTTCTGCTAACTTTTATAGCTCCCTTATCCCTACAGATGTTTGTCAGCCATTCTTTTACCTATTTAAATATAGTAAGCATATTATATATAAAGTATAGCAACCGTATAATAATCTCTATCTAAAAGTTCTCTATCGGAAGTCCGTGCTGGTCTGCTTCCACTGTGCTGATTCTGCCGGCCACGTCTTATTCCCCTTCATGCTTCGTTGTCTTTGACTTAGAGTTGGAAATTATTTATAGAGATTTCCTGAGAATTAAAACGAAATCTCCTAAGAATTAAAAAAAATTAAAAATATAAAGGTATCAGTTCTTAAATTAGTCTATAAAATCAATGCTGTTATAAGTAAAATCCCAAAAGGAACCTGACGAGATGATTCTAAATTTTACATAGAAAAGCAAAGGACCAATAATTGTGAAAACACTTCTAAAAAAGAACAAGTTGAGGAAACTTGTCCTGCCAAGTAGCAAGACGTATTTCAGACCCTCCAACATTAAGTATAAACTTACCATCCGTGAGTTCAGATTGTCCATAATTACCTCATGGGACCTACCTCATAGTTCTTCACCCCTCAGCATGAAATGTTCATTTCGATCTATTTGATCTTCTAAGCTTGGGCTATTACTTCTCCTCTCTTTGCTTTTGCTCTTTCTGTTTACCTTGCCTTTATGTTTTTTAAGATTTTATTTTTAAGTGATCTCTACACCCAATGTGGGGCTTCAACTCACAACCTTGAGATCAAGAGTCAGCTGCATCACCAACTGAGCCAGCCTGGTGCCCCTGTTTTTCTTGTTTAATTCACAAATCCATCCTTTGTACCAGCCCCTGGCCTGGTCCTGCTCAAATACTGTCTCCAAAATCTTCTTTTTTGTTTTTACCTAGCTCATCTAAATTTCTTTCTTCCAAACTGCCATGCCCCCTATTCTTTCTGCCATTTGTTTTACTATTTTATCACATATAGCTTGAAAACAGAGGGGAGAAAAGGGAGAAGGGAACCTAGAGATGGGTATTCAGAAATGGCCATATGTAAGCATGCTATCCCCCATCAGCAGATGTAGAGACTCCTTGAGCAGGGATCCAAGATGTGACAGAAAGCCCGCCAAGAGCCATTAAACACTCACCAGCTGATCTGCGTGGGAAATGTCCTAAAGGCTGATAAAAACCTCACAGGATTGGTGGTAACCTTGGGAATGTTGTTGGTATTCAAGAGTTATTTTCACCTCTCTTCATCTGGTTAACAGTTTTGATCATGAAAACAAAGACTAAAAGATCAGAAACAACCCATATGTCCATTGGGAGGGGCTTCGGTTCTATTTTGGTAGGACCACAGGCAGCTAGGAAAAAGAATGAGGCATGTCTGTGTCGGTGATGGGAAATTCTCTCCAAGAGATAGATAAGGAAGAAGCCAGGCGCAAAGCAGCATCACCATATATAGGTTTCTTGTTGGTTGGTTGGTTTTAAGAATATGCACCCCCAAGGTTTTGAACATGCAGAGAGACTGGCAATTGTGGGTGCCTGAGGAGAGGGGCTGAAGGTTGGCAAGTAAGAGTAGGAGACCTCACTGAATACCCTTTGGAAATCTTGTATTTTCTACCATGTGCAGCTATTGACTGTTCAAAAAATAAATGTTTAGGAGAAAATAATAAGAAGCAAAGATATTGGAAACAAACAGCAAATTGATGGTGCCAAAGAACAGAATTGGTGTGTGTGTGGGTGTGTGTGTGTGCATGCACGCGCTAGATCTTATGAGGCCAAAAGCAATGCTAGCAAGGGACAGCATGCTCCTTATTAAGATGAAGATGAATGTGTTCAGGGCAGACCTTCTAACCTGAGCAAAACCTTTCAACTAAAATATGAAGCAGAGGAAGGACAGAGCCAAGCTACAGCTGCAAAATTAAATACCTCTGAAAAGATACTAGCATCAGAATTACAACTGGGAGAGAATGGGTTGCTTAGCACTGGCTATTTGGTTCCAGAAAGAGAACCACATTAATAATCACACTAACTTGAGGAAACCAAGAAAAGCCCCTGTGTAGTTGCAGACCAGATGCTAGTTTTTAACCTGCCTTCTGCTGGAAAGGGAGAGGAGATCTGTGACAGCCCAAGGCTTCTGCCCGGCTCCACCCATGAAGACCAGGTACCAGGATCCACAGCTTCTGTGGAATTTGCTCTCTGGTGGGCTTTGCAACTACTGGTTCAGGCTAATGGTTGCCAGAGATCCAAGAAATTTACAGAAAGGGCAAGGTTGGGGATCTGAGAAAAGTACTTGAGTCGTGGTCAACACATGCCAGAACACCAGTGCAGGAGTGAAAAGCCCTGGGGGCTGAGAAATGCCACCAGCCAAGTGGCACTTTCCAGTGTCCCCTCCTGAGAAGATGCTTATGGATTTCAAAAAATAGAAAAACTGGGATTTTGGTATAAAGCTTCTTTCTCTCTAAAGAAAGAACAGCAAAGTGGATCAATAATTTTGGGGATTAAACGGTCAGATTTATAACCAGCAAGAAGATCTACAATGTCTTCCTGCTGGAATGGCATGAAATTCACAAGGTCTGGAGGATCTGGGGTGCTTGAATCAAGATAACATGAGGATGATTGTATGCTAGAATATATGTAATCAAGATGTATCACAACCTCAAGGGTCCATTGAATTCTCAGTATTGGTGAATTGTTCAGGGCTGAATAAGCAAAAAAGCAACCAGGATCTCTCTTTGAAAAAGAGAACAGATGAGGGTTTAGGGAGCAAAGGAAGTGGTGGAGCTGGTCCCTTAAGTCAGATCTCTGGCCAGTAAGTTTCAGTGCATGGTGGTCAGCTGCTCTCCAAACCCCATCAAGGGGCTCTGAGAGCCAACTTGACTCAGATTGGAGACTTCGTGGCCCGATGTGTTTTCAGTGCGGTAGAGTGTGTCACAAGAAGTATCACTATGAATACTTGGTCACTGATCCCTTGGCATTTTTAAGATCCCAATTTATTGACCACAGTTGGAAGCTGAGCTGATGGGGAATGGCCCCATATTTGTTTCAGCTGTGGCAAAGAGGAACAGCTGGTGGAAGCCTTCAGTCTTGAGGATTTTTACCCAGGGGGAAACATCCTCTCTTGCATAAGACAAGGCAACTCCTCCTAGAGAAATTCTACATTCCCTAATCTTAAGGATTTCAGGCAGAAACTACGAATAACCAAGAATCTGGCAGCAGCTCTAGAGCCTCCA